GCTCCACCTTCAAACTTCACCCCCCAAACCTGGTCAGTATGGTTAGTCATCGTCTGAACCGCCGCCCTTCGCCACTCGCCTCTCTCGACTATCGACGGCCGTCTGCGGCTGCCTCTCTCGTCGCCGGTCGCTCTCGCTCTCTGCCTCCCGGCTCCCACTCTCGCTCTCCGCCCTCCGCCCTTCGCCACTCGTCCGTCGCCCTCTCTCTTGTGTTGACTGTTGAGCCATTGAGGTTAGGGATTTAACATTTAAGTCTTTTAACATAGGGTTATTATAGTACTTATCTAGTTATTTTATTTACTTTACTTACTTTATTCTTTAAATTTTTAATTTTGTTTGATTGGAAAAACCTAATAATGAAACTAGCTTAGAAGCTGTGATTCTGTGATTGTGAAATTCAGAAATTGGTGACTTGCTTTGTTGGACTATTTTAATTTGTTTGACTCACCGATTGTTTTTGTTTCACTTGTTACAAACCAGTGAAACCACAAAATTAGAATTTAGTCTGTATGTATAATGTTAATGTATCATGCATGCCTAAATCCTAATTGAAATCCATGCCTTTTGCTGCCATTTGTTAATTGTTGGGTGGTTGACTGTTAATTATACATACTGTATCATGTATTATAATGTCCTTTGTGGTTTGTCATTTATGTTTCTAAGTGTAGGAAGCCTGAGTCTTTGGTTAATGGTGAGCTTTCAAGTTTTGAGTTTATTGTAAGTTTGGTTATTTGGCATGGTAATATTCCTTATTTCTTTAATCCCAGCCTAGGTACAGTAAAAGAGGTAGAGGAAAGTAATTTGCTGCAGAAATTATCAGAAGCTTGCATTGTTGATTTCTCTTAGATTGACTCTTCAACTGCACAAGTAAGTTTTTATGTTTGTTTAAAGTTAAATGAATGCTATTGTTATTAATTGATCTAGTTGTTCATCGAATCAATCAAGCCTATCTCTGAAGTTTTAGTTTTTCGTTCTGTGATTAATATTCAAGTTATCATCCACCGATATTTGTTCTAATTCCATTAGATTTTGATGTATATTAACACAATTTCAGCAACTATAATATAGTTGAATAGACCTATAAATGTGCAGTAGTTAAGTGATGATTTACCCTCACTTGAATGTGCAGTAACTAATTCACTTGACTGTTCTCCCTTAAATTTGCAATTTTACATATGAAACTCATGATTGTCATTGGTCAAGACCCTAAATATGATTATATGAAACACATGATGGACTAATGGAGTCATGCAATAGCTAATTTCATAGGCAAACACCTTAAGTGACTAAAACTAGTAGGACAAAAYYAGTGAAGTAGGAATGRGCCATTGATGTTGTAGAGTGTAAATAATTGAAGAAGAACCAACCAATTAAGTGTTTGGAGTTGGATTAAGAAGGTACGAGTGTTGATTTTGGTTTATATAGAAGACGATTTTGGTTTATATAGAAGACGTGGGATGTAGTAAATGGGACAAGTAGATGAGTTGGTGTTTAAACGCAAGGGCTATAACAACTTGATTAAAGAAACCTTAATATATTATTTTAAAGTAAACACTCAACTATACGATCACACTTATGAACAAAAAACACTAATGGATCTCTCGGTCTATGAAGGAAAAAGCTAGACAACTGTAAATTACCACACTTGGATGTTTTTAATTGGGCATCATTTGGACTTTTCGCCGTGGGCACCAAAAATCTCAGGACCGGCCCTGTTCGGGTCCCACAACTTCATTTCAGAATACCCTTCATTTGAGCAATTAATACACCAAGGGGCCGTTTGGTTCGCGGAATTCGAAGGAATTTGATGAAATTAGAATGATAAATTCCTTTGATCAAATTCCGCTTCATGTCTTGAAATAGATGGAATCCTTTATATTCCATTGAATTTCACAAGTTAATGAATCCATTATTCTTTAGCATAACGGAAGGAATTGAATTCCATCACCACCCACCACGACCATGCTACTATTGTTCGTGATGCACCACCCTTAACCCCCCCACCACTACACCCACCCACACCACTATCCACCATGCCACTACTCTTGTCATCACACCCACCCACCCTCCGGTCACTCACTGCACATCCACATCCCTACTACGACCATGCTACTACCGTTACTGTCACACCCTTAACCTAACCCCCACCACCACATATTATTGTCGTCGTCACACTGCCACTCACCCCCACCATACCCCCAACCCACCAGTAACCACCATGCCACTATTGTCGCCGTCATACCCACCCACCCGACCACCTTCCGACCAATGTCATCGTCACAGCCACCCATCCCCACCGCCCCACCCTTAACCTAACCCCCCACGCCACTATTTTCGCCTTCACAACCGCCACTCACCCACACCCCCACCCTACCCCAATCCACCACTAAAAACCATGCCACTATTGTTGTCGTCATACCCACCCACTCCCAGGCTCCAACCACCCGACCACTATTGTTTTTTATCTTTGTTTTGTTGGAAATCGATCAAAATCCACCTATGCGTGCTTCTTCCCTTGAATCAAACACCAACTCTAGAAAGCTGACAACCATGACACAAGTAAGTTCATTTACTATAATAATGTGAAATGATGAAAGCATACGTCTTTGTTGATTTTTGTCATTTTGTAGCTCTTATTTAGTAATGTATTTAAAATGGCCATTTTCTTTGTAGCGCATTATAGTTACAACACATGAATTACAATGCCCATCTTTAGCCCATGCTCAAGGCATTGAAATCTTTTGGTTGTTCTTCTCCCATGCTCAATCTCTCCCCCTCTCTCTGTCTCCTCCCTAAGATGCCTTCTTAGGAGCACGAATTGCTGGGTGACAAATAATTGAATTGTTTCAAAATGTTCCTAGCTAATGGATCTCAAAAATATTAATGTGCATAATATATATATACATATAAATTTATTCGTCAACCTCAATAACTTTGCATTCTCTTTTAAAATGTAGGCGATGATCATATCCTTGAGTCAAAAGCTTAGGGAAGCAGTTGATTCTCTTTACCGACAAACTCATGTCAACCCTCAAGCATATGCTCGTCTCGTCCTTGATTGCGTTCGACTTAATGATGCCCATCAAGCCAAACGCTTACAATCTCACATGGAACAACATCTTTATGAACCCACCACCACTTTCATCCACAATCGTCTCCTTCACGTCTATGCCAACTCTTGCAAGCTTTTGGAAGCACAAAACCTGTTCGATAAATTGCCCCAAAGAGATATCTACACTTATAACGCCATGTTAAAAGCTTACTCCAAGACTGGTTCTGTGGATGACTTGCATGGGCTTTTGAAGAACATGCCATGTCGAGATTCTGTGTCATACAACACCGTGATTACGGGTTTGGCTTCTAGAGGTTGTACAAGAGAGGCTTTGGAAGTGTTTGTTAAAATGCAGAAAGAAGGATTTGAGGTCACGGGGCATACTTATGTGAGTGTCTTGAATGCATGTTCACAGGTATCGAATTTGGGGTGTGGGAAGCAAGTTCATGGAAAGATTGTAGCTTCTGGTTTGGTGTTCAATGGTTTTATTTGCAATGCTTTGACTGACTTGTATGCGAAATGTGGTGAGATTGATGTTGCTCGTTGGTTGTTTGATTGCATGAGCAATAAGAGTGTGGTTTCGTGGAATCTAATGATTGCTGGATATATGAAAAATGGGTTGCCAGAAAAATGTGTAGAATTGTTTTGTGAAATGAAGTTATCTGGTTTGGTGCCAGATAAGTTTACAGTTTCAAAAGTTCTTGGTGCTTTCTTTCAAACAGGCCGAATGGATGAGGCAAAAAAACTTTTTGCAGAGGTTGAGGAGAAGGATGCCATTTCCTGGACGACAATGATTGTGGGTCATGTGCAAAATGGAAAGGAAGAGGATGCCTTGGTGTTATTTGGTGAGATGTTAATGGAGCATGGTATGGCAGACAAGTTCACAATTTCAAGTGTGGTTAGTTCGTGTGCACGTTTGGCTTCTCTCTTTTATGGTCAGGCAATTCATGGAAGAGCCGTTCACATGGGAGTTGATAATGACACACTTGTGTCTAGTGCTCTTGTTGACATGTATTCTAAATGTGGTGAACCATCAGAGGCGTGGAAAATTTTCACTACAATACATGCAAAAACAGTTGTTTCTTGGAATTGTATGATTTTAGGTTATGCTCAGAATGGCAAGGATCTAGAGGCTCTGAGACTTTACGAAGAAATGCTAAATAATAACATAAAACCAGATAGCATTACTTTTGTTGGCGTTCTTTCTGCTTGTATCCATGAAAGACTTACAGATAGAGGAGAACACTATTTTTGTTCAATGACAGAAGAATATGGAATCATACCGACTTTGGATCATTATGCATGTATGATCAATCTCGTTGGCCATTCAGGTGATACAGAGAAAGCTGTTGAAATAATAAAGGGTATGCCTTATAAACCTAATAGTCTCATTTGGTCTACCCTTTTGTCAGTATGTAAACTGAATGGTAACATTGAACATGGAGAAATGGCAGCAAAACACCTATTTGAGGTGGAGCCATATAATGCTGAACCTTATATAACTCTTTCCAATTTGTATGCTGTTAATGGTAGATGGAAAGATATGGCAGCCATTAGATCTCTTATGAACACCAAAAATATTAAAAAGTTTGCTGCATTTAGTTGGGTGGAAATTGATGGAAAGGTACACAAGTTTGTTTCGGAAGATCGAACTCATCCAGAATCAAAAGCTATTTATCGTGGATTAAATAGGCTGATAAGAAAGCTATTGAAATCTGGCTTTACTCCAAACAAAAATCTAGTCTTGCATGATGTGGGCGATGACGAGAAGTTTCAATCCATATGCTACCACAGTGAGAAATTAGCTCTTGTATATGGGTTGATGAGGAAGCCTGAAGGACGACAACCGGTTAGGATTATAAAAAATATTCGAGTTTGTGGTGATTGTCATGTGTTTATGAAGTTTGTTTCAAAAATGATTGATCGGACCATCATATTGAGAGATTCAAATAGATTTCATCACTTTGTAAGAGGATCTTGCTCATGCAAGGACCTTTGGTGACCCTTTGAAGCATTGGCTTTTGCTAATCATTATACATTTTTTAAAGGAATTTACAATGTATCCACCCTATAGTCAGACCGCTCATTTCCTCTCTTCTTTTTGCCTTTAGATTATATTATATTGTGGTTGATGATGTCTGCAGGTGGACGTTTAGGTGTCCCACTATAACTATGGTAACACCATGCTCCTAACTTTGGTTGAGTTCATCATATAGATCTTGTTTCTTTTCGTTGTATATAGCATGACTAGTGTTCAAAATGGCGCGCCATGACGCAAGATGTGTCTCTGCCTTTACGAAATGGCCCATAACGTTTTTGTAAGGCGAGCATTTTTTGTAACACGTGGTTTTTTTCCCAAAAAAATAATTTTTTATTTATTTTTATTTTTATCTTTTGTGTATTTACACTTTTAACTTTAGATTTTACATATTTATAGATCTAACTAATCACATCACTTATAGTTTCACAAATTCATAAACGTTATAGACTCACGGTTAAAATGAAGTTGCAAAATTACATTTTTAAGTTCTAGTTTGAATATTAAATCAAAAACTTATTTTTATAATAATAATTTATATGATTTTATTCTTCTAACATGGATGTACATTTTTTAATATCATTATCTGATTAGATAATACATAGAAAACATATCTATATCTATATAATTCTATATATGACATACAAATTTGCCGCCTTATGTCACGTCTTGAAAAACGTCGCGTCCTTGCCGTGGCATGTAAGGCTTGAGGCTCACGCCATGCCTCATGCCTTTTTGAACCTTGAGCATGACCCATTGGATTTCCTCTTACATGCCAAGTTTAACAACTAAGATTTATGCATCCTTCTATCTCATATATGTCTTTGTTGTATTAATAACATTATTTCAGGGAACAATCAAACCTATAATGTTGTATCTATACAAGATTGTGTTTTTTGTGCGATTTTAATGGAGCTACAACAAGACTTGCTTCTTGTTATGTGGACTGTAAGTCTCTTAATCTTTTCCTTATGTTGTTAGAAAGCAAGAAACGAGCTTATGGCGTTTCTCATTTGTGGTTGTCATCATTCATCACAATATTAAGTATGCTAAGGTGGTATTCATATGAACTTTGAATCAAATGTAACATCAAGGTACATATTATTGACTTGTGAAGTTTGAGTTTGATATAGCTATTCAGTTTTTGAACAGTTGTTACGATATTTACACACACAAAAATGAATCATAGGAATAGAAAGAATTGACTACGGTTTTTACATGATTTAGCAATTTGCCTATATACACATGTATTATTAGAAGTGAGCACAAATTAATTTTTCTAGTTTTATGGGACTGAACCGTTATGTTTGGATAAATATGCCGATGTATATGTGATCAAGAACTTCAATATTACTAAAAGTGATTATTACAACTTCAAGTTGTAGAAACACATCAAAAAAGGAATTTTCCTGCACCAACTTATGATATGAATGTATGGTTTTCATGTGTAAGATTTCAAGTCTTTGTCCATTTGATTGTTGACCCAATGCACTTTAAGAACTAAAAATGTAAAACTTATCTAAACCTTCTATAGTTTTTATATTCTGATTTCAAATTTGTTTTCAATTGTACCACTATTCTCTATTGTTCTTGAAATTGTATAGAATAATGGTTTGCAGGTTTCTGCATGGTGTCAGCAAGTTTAATGCCATCACCTGGCTATCCTAATACAAACGGATATCTGAGATCAAAGGTGTCATCTGTCCCTTTTTCATCAAACCTTCTAAAAAGTTTGTCCTCATTTAAGAAGACATTGTATGCTAAGTTTTGGATCTTCCATTTGACGCAACCTTTCTTCATCAAGGATTCCGAGTGAGTAAACTTTCGTTTTTTATACAGATTATGTTAAGTTTTCAGACTCATGTAACCTTATTTTACAGTAAACTGTAAACCATCTGTGCATTAGGAAGAAATGATAATATCGATTTAGGTCCACAACAAGATTATCCTATTTGTCATTATTAAAGGGTATTCAAGAGACTCTTCTCCTGAATTATGTGATCGGTCAAAAGTTGTAGTTTTCATCTTTTTAGAAAGTTAACATGCTCTTAACTGTTAATTTTTCACTGCATAGGAGGATGGCATGGCATATAAGAAGCAGTGCAGATGACAGCGGTTTAAATCCCTCTTCCACAAATAATAACAGCAGAGGGACTAGACTCATAAGAGCCATACAAGCCTTTCAAATCAAACTAAATGCACGTTTTAAAGACCTGCGGAAGAATCTTCCCTTGAAACTGCTGTTTTTCTTGACTGGTTTCTATTGTTCAACAGCTTTTGCTACCGTGATAGGACAAACAGGTGATTGGGATATTCTTTCTGCCACTTTGGCTGTGGCTGTAGCGGAGGGGATTGGATCCCTCATGTACACATCTTTTCCTTTATTCAATAAATTAAGGAACTTGGTCACCATGTTCAATTATTGGAAGGCTGGCCTTTCTCTAGGTCTATTTCTGCATTCCTTCAAGTATTAGACTTCATTCTTTTAGCAAAAAATGCCATTTCCTGCCCTCCAAGTACAGGAATGACCTAAAAGATTAGGTGGGCATGGTTTACATTCACAAATTGGATCCTACATCCATATAATTTGATGGAAGCTTTGAGATGTGATTCCAGTTGTATTGATCACAATAGAGGATCTTGTGGCTCTTGAAATCTATTGCCTTTATTCCTTTAGTGAAAATTTCTATTAGGATGACCTAAAACATAAGAGGGCATGACATGCTAGATATTCTGCAATTGGATCTTGGATGTGATTTGAGTTGATCCTTTTGAGGTAGGTTTCCGGTTATTTGGCATTCCAAATGAAGAAAGCCAAACAACAGGTGATGCTCTTGATCTACACCTTAAAAAGGTACAGATCCATGCTAAGTAGCTAAACAAAATGCTGGTTTGCAAGAATGGTGTGTTTCTGGCTGAGCCAAAGTGCGGATACGGCCTAATGAAGTGGCTTTTGCACGCCGAATCCGTGAAGCTTTGGGGGTTACATGTAAGGTGTAGAAGAAATTTATAGTGAAAGCTCTTGTTGCATGATATTGTTGATGTTAATTTTGAATTTTGTTTGTAAAATTTATTTGCACACAGAAGGAATGCAGAAACATTTTCCTGAAAATGTAAAACATGTTTCAATATTATGAAGAATTTTGAGTTACTTCAAACTAGTTGTCTTGTTGTATGGTAGAGATCCATGTATAATCCAGGTCCAAAATGGCTAAAGTTTGGGGGACTCCTTAAACCGAACCAACGTGCCATATCCTATTCAGAAATAAGGCCTAGTCAGGATATAATGTATGCAAATTTGTCATCTATCCTAATACTGTGTTTTCAGAACCCTTTTTAAGGAAAAAAAAAAGATAAAATAAAGGGAATGAGAGGAAACAAAAAGAAAAAATCATCTGTATTCCATACATTTAGGAGGGAAAAGAAAAGAATAAGAGGGTAGAAAGAAATTGTATATAATTCGTCATACAACAATGTTATATATTTATTACAAGAAATTGTATAATTGTAAAAATGAGATCTTTCCTTTTTTTCTCTTTCGGTTCAAATCACAAAACAGATAAGAAATACTTTCTTTTCTTTCCATCAGTTTGTTTTCTTCCCAAATCCATAGATGAAAGGAGCATGTTTTCATAGATTTTTGTTTGAGATGGTTTTTTATAGATTTTTGTTTGAGATGGTCTTTCATAAATGAAAGGAGCTAGTTTTCAATTGGAGGACAAATCTGGAAAAAACTTAGTTTTCTGCATAAAATTAACCTCCTAGAAAGTCACAAAAACAGTGAGTATAGCTGAACAAATAAATTGTAAGTTCCATTAAACTTTAAAGGATCCATGCGAGGAGGAATTCGGCTCAAGTAGCAGACCCCATGCTTATCAGCCTTGGCTCATTCTATAACACCATATGTTCATAAATCATATAACCAAAATAAATAAATTGTCGAGCTCGAACCAATAAACGAGTTAATCAATCTCGAGTTCAAGCCTATAAACGAGCTTATAAAGTTTGAACTTTAAATATCATGTATAACTCAAACTTGCTAAATGAGCATCGAGTTAAAGCTTGAACATTGAAAAATAGCTCGAGCTCAAGCCATGCCTTAAAAAAAGTTATTCGAGCAAGAAATACTTGCTGCTCGAACCAGTTCATCTACACTGCAGTCTGAAACCACAAAGAAGGGGGGCGGCGATCGACATTTAGACCAAAATAGATGTAATTAGCTTTAAACTACAGATAATCTGATTATAAATACTTCAAATGGTTTACAAAAAGTACAATTATGAAACCAAATGGAAAAGTAAAATGAATAATATCCCTCGCAGTTTATTTAAGAATAATTATATAACGAGATGCTTTTATCATCTGATACACTTGCAAGCAGACTCCCCCTAGCTCCACCTTCAAACTTCACCCCCCAAACCTGGTCAGTATGGTTAGTCATCGTCTGAACCGCCGCCCTCATTTTCGGGTCCCATAACTTCACTGTCCTATCACTAGACCCCGATGCAATGGCTGCACCATCTGGGCTCACGTCCACGCTCAACACCCAGCTAGAATGGCCCGACATTGATGAACATAGCGTCTTTCCTTCAGCATCATACATGTGAATGCGTTCATCATCTGACCCTGAAACCAGAACTCGGGGGTCTAGAGGTGAATACGCAAGAGAACGAACGGGCATTGTGTGACCTTCAAGATGGTGAAGGAATTTTGCTCGTTGTACGTCGAAAACGGAAATGGAACCGTCCATGGACCCACATGCCAACTGTCTTCCGCTTGGGCTCCATGCAACCGAAAGGACAAACTTCTTGTTGTTGCCTTTGTCAGATGGCTTTGAGCCCTCGGGACGAGGAATAGATAAAGCTGCAATCAGTTTCCATTCAGCTGTATCCCAAAGTTTGACCGACGCACTGCTGCCTCCAGCAACAGCAAGAGTTGTACCCTGTCGCATGACACACGATTATTCAATTTAAGTTGTACTTTTCTTATATTTTAAATCACTAAGGAAAGACATAAAACTAAACCAAAGCCGTCTATCCCACTCAGAGGTTGGGTCCGAGGAGGATAGGCTGTACGCAAACCTTACAATGATCAAGAAAAAAGCAATACAACTTATTTTTGCAATATGAACAATTAGACTATTATTAGAGGTATAGAAGAGGAGATCATTTCTAGGAAGGAGGTAGACTTCTGATAACTACGGAAACCATAAATAGTGGGAACGGAACTTAAAACCTTTTCATCAAAAATAAACAAGGGTATGAAAATGCATGTTCTCTTAGCGAAAATCTCAATTCAGACTCTATTAAATCCACTTTCCAAATACATGAGAAGAAGATACATGAAAAAAAATGATCAAACTATTGCTTCAACAAGAACTGTAGAAATTGCTAAAGGAAGAGATATGGAAACATAGACAGATTCCCTCATAGTCTTCAGAACTGCTACCACACAATCATTATCGTCCTTTTACCATGGGCTGAAGGTTTCTATATAAGGAGTATATTGAAATGATTAAGCAGATGGCTCATTTGTCATCACAAAGACAAAGTGCCCTTCTGATTATAGAGATTTGAAACTAACTCTTCAAATTCCAATTAACATATACTTTTGTTTCTTCTCTCAAAAATGTTTCTCTTGAATATTTCATATATAGCTAGATGAAATCAACAACTTCTCATTCGAAGGAAAGTTGCTAATATGTTGCTCTGGTCAAGTCAAACCATGTCACATTCCCTCCCAAAAATTTATTTCAAACTTAAGGCATATTTAGTGTAACAAATGTTCCCCACAGGGACCATAGCTCCTACGACTGAATAAGTGAATAGGAATCGAACAAACAAATTCACTAAATAGTCTACATTACCTATTTTCTCAATTATAATCCTCAAACAGCAATCATAAGTTTATTCATGCTAGAAGTAAGATCTACGATATTAATGTCTCTTCCAAAATCAAATATTCTTGCCAATAGGCTCATCAGATGGAATGAATTGCATGAAGAGGCCTTGAAAGAACAGACAATTCAAAAGTTAAAGATGCCAAAGAAGATAATCATCACTTTGCCAAGAAAAGTACATAGGGTATTTTGCATCAAGCGAGGAGTAAACCATTTGGATCATTTAAAAAAAAATTAGTATGCAGAAGGACATCAGAGGCAAATACCAAACTCCCCTTTCTTTTCACAAAATGAACGGGACAAACATTTGGCACTCCTCAATTCATAGACGTCAATTCTTGAAGCAAAATGATAATCATTGGAAAATGACATGCATCATTAATCAAATTGAAGCAAGATCCGATCCTCTAAAAGAATGTATACACAAGCACATGGTCTCGTCCAATTAGCTGTTTGTTAACTACTTCAACAATTACCAGAAGAAAACACTTGTATCCGTACCATATGGCTACAGCTAAGTCGTTACACAAATTCTACCAGAAAACAACATCAACAAGGCATTACGCCAAAACAATGGCAACTTAGACGGGATCTCAAGGAATCCACCAACGGGAATCACATCGCAAGCTCCATTAATTACAATTTGAATTGCAGGTCTCAAATCTCAAATCATACCACTTTGACAATTATGATCCAAAATAATCATACAAACTTGAGTGTTATCCTTAAATAATATATATGATCTTTTTCAAATAATTCACCAGGAATAATGGACTATCACGTTTGACAGCCAAGAACAAATATAATGCAAGTCAATAACATAAAGGGGGAGAACAAAAACATCTGGATACTCCAACTTGCACCATCAAATTTGTCAAATCATACTAACAACCGAAAAAAGATATACAATATATGACCATGAAAGACAGGTACTTGCATTGCAGCCAAAGAACATTAATTTATCTACAAGGAGTCGGAAACAGGAAGATGTACGGACTCGTAGTCTCCCATTGCCATATATTTTTCCAAACAATTCTATAATCCTAAGGGGATGTTTGGTTGGTTTTCCATTAAGTCTTGTATGGAAGATCTACCTGCATGTTTTTTTAACAGCGAATGATAGTTTTGAAAAAACCTTGGCTTTCTGCATAAAGCTCCCCCGTAAAGCTTACTGAATAAGCCAGTTTCTATATCATCAAGCCACTACTAAACAGTCATGTATAGCTAGCCTAATAAGCTGTGAGTCCCATTAAGCAGCTAACAAACAGGCCTAGATATATTAATATATTTATAGCTCATAAAGTGTAATTTCAATTGCTCAACATAAGAAAAGACAGGCCGATGGAAGTTTTCTAAAATCACGAAGCAAATCAGTAAAAGGTTACATTCTGGTAAAATCATGGACAGTTTCTATAAAGTTGGATAGACGTGAATACTAACAAAATCTATCAGAAGAAGATGATTGTTTTACCCTCGGATCGAATTGCATTTGCCAGACTTCAGAAGGAGGAGCCTCGAGAGTAGCAATGGTGTTGTTAGATTCAACATCAAAGACACGAACAAAGCTATCCATAGAAGCGGATGCAGCAATTTTTCCGGAAGGATGAGCAGCGACGGAAACGACGCCGAGGCAATGTCCGGTGTTTGTACGGACAAGCGATAGGTCGTCGGGATTCCATAGCTTCACCGTCTCGTCAAGGGATCCGGTGAGGAGAAGGCCGGAGCTTTTATCTGTGGCAGGAAGCCATGTACAAGCCCAGACGCAATCGTGATGAGAAGTTTCGAGAGACCTCAGCCATGCGAGCTTCATATCGTGTTGAAAACCCTAACGGAAGATTTTTGAAAAAGACGATGATTATGAGGGGTTTTGATTGTTTGACTGATAAATGCCAATTTCTTCTTCTTTACTACTTAATAATTAATTTTTGTTTAACTTTTTATCAAACATATTCTATCACTTTATAGCTTTTTTTTTTTTTTTTTTATGAAAAACAAAAAATCAATTTTCTTTGGTTTAAGGTTTTTCTTTGGAACCCATCCAAATTTTATTTCCAAAAATCAATTTTAAAAAATTGATTTTTTTGGATAATATTTTATTGAAATACATCTAGTCATTCAAATTTAAAAAAAATAAATTAAAAACTCATAAAAAATTAAAGTTTTTGATTAAAAAACACACTTGAAAACTTAATATTTTCTAAAAAAATCGATTCTCATCCTGTAGTGTACCCATGAATTTTTGTAAAAAACATCATTGGTAATGGCATCAAACCCTCGATCCTTTCCGGTCCTAAGTCGGGCCAAATTTTGGCCATCTCTAAGCCGAACAGGATAGAAAGCAATTCAGTCCAAGAGGAAGGCCCAATTCAATAGCAGCCCACTCCCCTATGTCATCTGGACCTGGACCACCGACGTTTCTCACTCGACGCGCCACCTCATCACCCTCTTCAACTGCCACGTTCGAGTGCAAGGTCCCAAACCGAAAAATAAGTCAAAATTTCTTGGATCATCCATTGTGATTCATGCCTTTTGTCGTTTGACAAGCTAAGAAGATGGAGATAATGAATGGACGATTGAACAACGGTGGTAATCTGAATCTGGTTTTTGATATATATCCTCTCAGTAATTATTACTTCAGCTCAAAACCTGGTGTTTCATCGAAGGAGGAAACCTTGGGGGATCGTGCACGACGTTTGAAATCCAAGTAGGTATACGTATACATACGAGTGAAATGAAGGATTGTATTTGTATGATTATTGCTTATTTCTGAAATGGATTTTGCTTTGAATGTTCAGTTATGATGTTCATGGAATGAGGACTTATGTGGAGGCCGTGATTTTGGTAAGTCTGATTCTCTTGTAAGTTGGATGTTCAAGTTTTCCATTTTAGTTTTATAACTTTGTATGGAATTAATTGTTTGAGATATTATTGTAAATGAAGAGAGTTTATTTATTATGAGTCGGGAAGATTATGATTAGAGTTCATTTATTAATTATTAAAAAACAATCTAAATATTCATGGTCGATTGAGATTGGTTTGGATATATAGTTGGTTGGTACTGGTAGTAATGGTTAGGTTTGTAAATGAAACTATCTCTATATGTATTATGTAGATTGCATTTGCATACATATATTGATGAAATTTAGATATTTTTCTGAACTGCTTACTCAGGTTGAGCTTTTCAAGCATCCTCATTTGTTATTGCTTCAAGCTAAAAACTGCATATATAAGCTTCCTGGTGGCCGCTTAAGACCAGGTGAATCGGGTAAGAAACAATCAATCTTCCTTCTTAAGTTATATGTGGCTCAAGATTCACTATTTCTCTACTCTCTACAACAGATGTTGATGGCTTAAAACGTAAGCTCTCCACTAAGCTATCTGCTGATGAAACCCAATGCCAATGGGAGGTGGTACGTTTTTATACTTTCATCTCCGAATCTATATTTCATTTCAAGAAACGCCATTTTTTTTAATCGTTTCTTTAGGTTGGTGAATGCATTGGAACATGGTGGAAATCGGACTTCGAGACACTACCTTTCCCATATTTGCCTTCAAGTGGCAACAACCCCAAGGTATTTTTTCTCCACTTTTGTTTACTTGGACCGTTTCTTTTCAAATAGATTTGCTTTGGAGACTGATACGATGAGGTTTCACATATTCTCGTAACTATATTGTCGGACTTTTCAAACGGCCAGGGCATGATGATGGATATATCTTGGTGTCTATATGCAGGAGTGCACTAAGCTCTACCTTGTGAAGTTGCCATCAAGCCGGGACTTTGTTGTGCCGAAAAATCTCAAGTTACTAGCTGTTCCAATGTGCCAGCTTCACGAAAGTCGCAAGGTATGCTTCTTTCTTTTATCACATTCAGGTATAAAAATGTGGTTTGAGACACCTATCGGGTGCGTTTGGTACCAAGACATGACAGTTGTTTCGCTTTTGAGGGTATTATTGGTTTGTTCCACCTTGTTCCTGTTTTTTCTACATAAAAGTCATGTCAAATGTGGATCAACGATCCATGTCCTGTTATGTTTTGTTTAGTGTACCAAATGTACCTATAAGGTTTGGTTTGTGGTTTAGAAAAAAGCTCAAACTGCATACAAGTTTTGACTCTAAACTGCACCATATCGTGAACTCCCCTTGCCAAGTATGTAAAATTACCAAAAAAACTATCAAATATCCTAAGGCATACCCATGGTTATTGTTCTCTGGATATCACGAGTTAAAACTGATTTTTCCCCTTGAATTTGAGATGTGGCATCGATGAATGTGTTGCTGTGATTTGCAGACCTATGGACCGATAATATCAGGGATTCCGCAGCTGCTTTCAAGGTTCGCCATAAACATGGTAGGTTCTTAGAATGGCACATCACGAGATCAAAATCACTTACAAAAGCCGCACAACTTGCACTTCTTGATCATGTGAAAGTTTCTTGTTTTGTCTCGATCGATATACATAAATATAGCATTCTATATATCTTTTGCACATAACATGGTCCAAATAAGAGATGTTATAAATGGAACAATTGGAGATTTGACGAGTTCGATTTAGGAAAACTAGTTGAAGTAGTACGCAATTTGTAATTACTTTTGAGTTTGCTTCGTGTCGGTATGGACCTTCGTCTTGGTTTGGGTATGGTTGTGGCATTTATATAAAAAACATGTGTATGCGAGCTTATTTATAAGTTTATGCCGATGCTATTGGGATTTTTATACTAGATGTCTACACACAAGGACCCAAAGCTTATGTCACATTATGCGGAAACAAAGTGAATCGACTACGAATGATATATGATGCGTATCGACAATAATAACAAAGCAATCAACGCAGGAAGGTAATGACACGGAGCGTAGTCCGTCCTCACAAATCCTAATAAACACAAATAGGTAGGCCACATTGAAAGCTTCCCCAAAACAATGGCAAGCTTGGGATTTTTGTCTAGTGAGTCCATCTTTAAGGTGGATTGAAGATCCATAAAAATTATCCGACCACCGTTGCTTTCTTTCAAGCTTTCCTGTTGAACATAACATGATCCCCCATGTGCTCTCTTCTTAACTCTGAGCTAAGTCTTTGCCTAAAGAAAGGAAGATAGAAAGCATCCCGAATTAGATAGAAAAAAGTCATGCTTCATAGCGTTCTACGGACTCTAACGGTTCGTAGAATGCTATGAAGCATGATTTATGTCCATCTAATTCAAGAAATTAGATGGTATGGTAGAGAAATTCCTTGAATCTTTTTTTCTCTCTTCTTTTGGGTGAAGTTGACGTTGACAAGTCAAAAGGTGTTTAATTAGAAATTATTAATTACAAATGGAGACAGGTTGGGCCATTAGACCGGCCAACATTTTTTAAAATTTCCATAAATAATTATTAGTATGAATATAAAACTATAAAGTAAATAATAAATAACAATATAAATAATTATAAGTATGAATATAAAACTATAAAATAAATAATAATAATAATAATAATATAATTCGTTTTGGATAAGAATTCCCACTCTTTTTTGTGAAGAACCCTCGAGAATGTTTAAGAGACATGGCCAATGCCTCAATTCTGGACCCACGTTCGGATACAAATCATGATTCATCCGAAATGAAAATATAAATCAGCCGTCTGGGGGTCACCTTCATGTAATCGTATCGTATCTCGTGGTTCAAGATTCGTGTCTTTTATTATATTAATTAATGGTATAATGTATAGGTTTTTATAACACATATTTAATTTTACTTGTCTTTTTAATTAATATTTTATTTGTTAGTTTTTGATATATAACTTAATTTAAATTGTTTATCATCATTGAGTGATATTACGGTAGAAAACATATATTTATGTATATATGATATAGATATTTGTTATGATAAGTCATAGCTAGCTGTATACGAATTACAAACTTAACATAGAAGAGCAAGCATTCCTAATATGCTTATTTTAGCTAAAAAACTGAGCCGACCGACAAAAAGGAAACAAAAACATAATATATAAACAGTTATACATGTTCTTTTTATAATGAGTTGTTGGTGATAAAAAAACACAAAACTAAAATTAATTTGTTGCAAGAAACAAAGAAAAAACCAGTAAAACAATATTGTTTTTGTCTAATGCATGCATACATGCTTACTTTAAATATAAAAAGACTTCACATCAATTAGTTATATAACTTTTTAAGCTAAAATTGGCATGCATGGAGATAAGTACACCATTATTCCTGGATTTTCATAATTAAAATACTTATATATATAATTGGAAATTTAATTGTAATAATATATATGGACTCGAAAAGCAAATGCAATTGCAAGATTAACTCTTTCATTTTAACCATAATTAATCTATTCATTTAATTAGCTTATTAAACAAAAAAATTTCTCATATTCAAGTTGATTCCATCAATAATTAAATTGAATATAAGGCCATGATTTGTTATTTTTTCCTCTATTTTTCTTTTAAACTCATTCGTATATATAAAAAATTTATATTTCTTTCGTTCTAAAATAAGTTTCTCTCATTGAAATAACCTATATATTTTTTTTTATATATTCATAGTTATTTCACCTTTCAATTTACTAAATGACAATTTTACATTTATTTAATATTTTTTTTTCACAACTTTAAATACTAGTGCAAATTATTAAGAACTCAGTTATCTATTTTTGAACCAAACACCTATTTTAGGATAAATATATACATATTTTAAGGTTGTAAACGAAGACGAACAGACGCTTGTTCGTTTAACTTAATCGAACAAACCAATGAACACGAATGATAAACGGATGATTCTTTTTGTGTTCATTTTCATTCGTTAAGAAAATATGTTTGTTTGTGTTCGTTTGTATTCATTCATTAAGATGTTAAACGAAGAACCACAAATATATATATATATATATATATATATATATATATATATATATAGGTTGATTATTATACAACTTGTGACATTTGTGCAACTAATACAACTCAATCTCAACCGTCCATTTCATTTGATTAATATGTGATTTCATAGAAGTTTTGATTATTTTCTAATATAAAGTATTGATCATAATTAATGAATCATATTCATCTTCCATAAATATTCAAATCATAATAAATAAATTCTCATCATTTTCATAAATATTTCAATGTATTGGATTGCATTGTTTTGTACAAATGCAATGAGTTGTATTTGAAACAAACTCTTTATATATAAAAAATAAATGAAACATCCTTAGAATTAGAATATGGATCTCCGTTATATATGAATTGGGCATGTGGCAAAGTTGATGTGAATAATGAAAAATTAATAATATGTAAATGATTGGTTTAAAAGTGTTATATTTAGTGTGAGGAGAATAGAATTAATTACATGTTATATGGCAATGGCAATGGCAATGGCAACAAGTAAAATATAAAAAATCAAATATTTAATTTATGATGACATCTTCAACTTTGATTGGTAAATATTTACATGTTATGCTTGATCATCTTTTTGAAGTTTTATTATTACTTTTCTTTTATTAATTAAATGTAAGTTTGGCCGACTTCAAAGGTCAACGTCTGCCTGTGCAAAATGTTTGACCTTTTGTTAATCATGGTTTAATCTAATTAAATATATGAAGAAAAATACATTCATCTCCATTCTAATAAAAAGTCACTTTGTTTTCTATTATACTTCAATATATATATATATATATATATATATATATATATAGATTTAAAAATAATTATACAAATTGTATGTTATTAAAGGTTCAAACCTTTTGAAACTCGATTGTCAACACACACATATATATTACGGGGAGAGAGAGAGAGGAGGAAGTTTTATTAAAAACCCAAAATTGATCAGGAACCGTCTACAACGACCCTCTTTTATCTTTTTTCGAAATGAATATTTGTCATTTATGTCTATATATATATATGTAGCTTATCATTTAGTATAGGTAGTGAAGATATATAATTTAAACTTTGCATGCATTGATATGATTACCACAAAAAGCCAGAAAGTAGTTAATAAAGCAATAATTGAGAGGCCTAAATTTTGTCATTGTGGAGAAGGAACCCCAACCCACATGGAACTGGAACTGGAACTGGAAGGATGCCAAATTTAATGACACCAATTCAACTCCCCATATTAATATTAATATTAATATTATTACTATTACTCCTGCTTCCTATTACTACTTTTTTTTTTAATAAACATTTTATACATATATATATAACAAGTAACAACTTGTTTGTTTTTTTAAGATGGCCATGACTTATCAATCTAAACAATTAATAATTGTTTATATAATCACTAAAAAATCAATCTAAAGACTATTAGTATTTTATAGGAGTCGTCATGTCATAACACGTCGTGACTTATATATAACCTAAACTCTTTCACATGGCAGGCATAACCCATACACAATTTTTTAATGCACTCTTTGATTTTTCTTTATCATTCTATGTCTTCACTAAACAGCCTCTAAAATTGTACATATATATTGAATGTATGTATTTAACATATACGTATATTTTGGTCAACCAAGTTCCATATATATTTGATCCTCCATCGCCCCCTTTTAACTTCACATCCAACCCATTCATTTCAACCTCCATAAAAATGGCTTCTTTTCTCCATTCAAGATTTCTTGAATTGCTTCTCCTACTATCCTTCACTCCATTCTTATCTGCAAATATCCAACACACCTTCCCTCAATGCCTTTCTACCATCCAAATCCCCAATTCTTTCTTCACTCCTACCTCCCCTAACTTCACCCTAATTCTAAATTCCACCGCCCAAAATCTCCGTTGCATCACCCCTTCCACTCCCAAACCGCTCGCCATTTTCACTCCATTCAATCAAACCCACATCCAAACCGCCGTTATTTGCGCCAAAAAGCTCGGCATTCATCTTCGGTTCAGAAGCGGAGGCCATGATTACGAGGGCATCTCTTATACATCCGCCATCAACCTTCCATTCATCGTCATCGACTTATCCAAACTACGTGCCATTAACGTCCATCTTGACGACAATTCCGTTTGGGTCGAGGCCGGTGCCACCGTAGGCGAACTATATTACCGAGTTGCCGAGAAAAGCAAAACGCATGGGATTGCGGCCGGGCTTTGCACAAGTCTCGGCGTCGGCGGGCATATCACGGGCGGTGCCTATGGATCCATGATGAGGAAATACGGATTGGGAGTCGATAACGCACTAGATGCCAAAATCATCAACGCCAATGGAGAGATCCTCGACCGGAAATCCATGGGCGAGGATGTCTTTTGGGCCATCAGTGGTGGTGGTGGAGGTAGTTACGGAGTTATAGTTTCCTGGAAATTGAAACTCGTACCTGTACCCGCCACCGTCACGGTTTTCAATGTTCCAAGAACGTTGGAACAAGGTGCCACTAAAATCCTTCTCAAATGGCAACAAGTGGCACCCAAATTTGATGATGATCTTTTCATCAGAGTCTTTATCCAACCCTCAAATCTAAATGGTACAACTAAAAGAACAATAAGTACAACTTACAACGCACTTTTTCTTGGAGGAGTTGACAGGCTTATGGAGATGATGACACAAAGTTTTCCAGAATTGGGTCTGCAGAAAACCGATTGTTTCGAAATGGGTTGGCTGGAATCCGTCATGTTCATCGCCGGGTTCCCGGAAACCGTTCCTACCACCTTCCTCCTCACCGGAAAACCAGCTTTCTTGAACCACTTCAAAGCAAAATCAGATTTTGTGAAAACCCCAATTCCAGAAACAGGATTAAAAGGGATGTGGAAAAGACTTTTAAAAGAAGAAATGCCATTAATGATATGGAATCCATATGGAGGAATGATGGGGAGAATTCAAGAATCATCAACTCCATTTCCACATAGAAATGGAGTTCTTTTCAAGGTTCAGTATGTAAACAGTTGGATGGTGGCGGAAAAGAAAGCGGTGAAGAAGCATTATAAATGGATCAGAAAGCTGTATAGATACATGGGTCAGTATGTATCCAAGAATCCGAGAGAAGCTTATGTGAATTACAGAGATCTTGATCTTGGAATGAATGATAAAAATGGCGAAAATACGAGTTTTGTGAAGGCAAGTTCATGGGGAAGAAGGTATTTCAAAGATAACTTCATCAAGTTGGTGAAGATCAAGAGTGAGTTTGATCCAGATAACTTCTTTAGGCATGAACAGAGCATTCCAATCCTTCCATGGAAATGATGAGTTTTGAATTCTGTATCTTATTTGTGTTTTTGCAATGAAAAACTAAGGATTTCTGAGAACAGAAGCTGCCATAGACATTGTTGTAAATCTTTAGATGTGTTGGTTATTTCTTATTTTTCCTATAATTTTTCAATTTCATGTCTTTTGTCCTAATTTTTTTCAGAAAATAATAAAAAGAACTTGTATTATTATCATTATTATTATTATTATAGTTTAATGGTTTCAACTAATATAAGTTGTATAAATGTTTATACTCACAAACTCGCGGCCATGCCATGATATGCACCAATCGGTCAGCCCCAGATTCAAAACAAGTTTATTTTGTAATTTTAATATCTCCAAAAAACATAGAATCGGAATTTTCAAGAAAATTACATTAATTTCTTTTCTAGTAAGAAAAAATATACATTCATTTCATACGATGATGCACTTTGTTGTTTGGTGAAAAAAATATGCAAATGCCGATCAAATCCGGCTCAACGAATCAACCCCTCATGAGAAGTTGCCTGCAACGTAGTAATTAAAAAGAACATATATATATATAAATTGCAGATTCAATATATATATATATATATATATATATATACCTGCAGACAGATCCTGCTTCTTCTATTAAGCTGATACTGACCTGAAAACAGATGATATAGTTGAACAAAGATAGGGGTACAAAAATGGGTGTGATGAACGAATTGATCTTATTTCGGAAGGTAATTTGAATGTACAAGAGAGCATTGTGCCCTGATCAGTAAATGCTACAACCAGAATACAGTGTCTCCTAGTAAGCAGAACCCCAAGTGGCCTAAAATAGGTAGCAAAAAAGATTTTTACAACCTAAGCCTAAGCGACTGACTATCTTATCTTCAGATAAGAGCCAAAATCTCTCGGATATTAACTTTCTTCAAAAGAATCGTAACCTAATTTACCACATCTCATCTGTAACTGTAACTAGTATACTCAACATCACTATACATACAAACATAACCAACTTTAAACCATCATATTCAAGTCCGTTAAATCATCCATTGGAATCTCCAGACCCATAAAGTCCTCATCTTGCAACACATCCTCATCAATGTTCAACCACGAACCTATATCCTCCCCTTGCCCACCAAAACCATCTCCAACCCCAACCCCAACCCCAAGCTCCTCCATTCCCGGAAGTTGTAAATGGGACAAATCAAGCGGCTCCTCCAACAACACAAACTCATCCTTTTCCTTCACGGTGCTACTTTTCGCCTCACTCGACTTCGGACCCGAGATTTTCCCCAGAGGGCCGTTCACAGATGCAGACAATTGAGTCGTTTTCTGTTTTAGTTTCGCTTTCGTCTTTCTTTCACCCTTAACATTAGATGCAGGCCGTCCAATTCTTGGACCTCCATTTCTCGACAACACTTCTCGCCCATTCCCCTTACCTTCTCTGTCCCGATCGCTCCTCTTTCCTTTTGCACTGTTCATAATCGCTCTTCCAACGGCCGATGGCAATCCTGAAGAAGTACCCGCGACATCATCAAGATACAACTCTCTCTTCTTAGGCCTGCTGGACCAGATATCATCTTTGCCAATAGTTTGCTCAGATGAGTGATTTACAGATGGATAGATGTCATGGTTGTTCAACAACGGCATTAATTGTGTACCTAATATGTTTGCAAGAAAACACCAACAAATAGAGCTCTTACACATGGGAAAACGACAGCTGAATACAGAAAGTCAGAAAGTAAAAAAAATGTTGTGAGCTCAGTGTATTGAAATCGTTAAGCACTTCAATGCAGTACCTGAAAGTTTTTCCATGGGCACTTTCTCGGATTCGCCATTAACGACAGCATCTACTTCTGCATCATTTACGCGTGATAATTCAGAAAGATACATTTCCCTAAATAATGGGTCGGCAAAGCAGCTTTTTCCAGTTGCTTCAAACTCATGACATCGATCTAGTGTTCTTTTGACACAATTTAAAGCAGTTTGCTTAGCCATTTTTCCACTGGCACCCTTACCCCCAGGTGCATTAGAGCCCCAACAGCTCTGCAGAAATTGATCAACACACAAAAAGAATAATCAAAATTACAAGATTTTAGGCATTAAACTATCTACAAGCATGCACATGCAACAAGAGACATTAAATATCAGATATTCAGAAGAGACACCATTAAGACAATATATATATATATATATATATATATATATATATATAAATATATAATATATATATATATATAAATATATAATATATATATATATATATATAAATATATAATATATATATATATTAAGAGTGAGGTTCAGGGAAAAACCACCGGAAAAACCAAAAACTGACAAGCACCCTAGTAACCATTCGTCTGTATGGTAAGCACGGTAACTGAAGATGTTTCCTGGTTTCTATGCACTTGTGCATGTTATGAACATGTGCATACCGGACAAATTACTTGTATACACATGTGCATACTGTACAGATGAATGGTTACCGGGATGTTCCTCAGTTTTTCATTTTTTGTAGTTTTCCCCTGAACCTGACCCAATATATATAGAGAGAGAGAGAGATAGCCAGACAAATGTATATCAAATGGACAACCAAAAGGCTCCTGAAAATTACTAAAGAACCCCCAGATTAATAATAATTCCTACTTCATTCATACAATCAATCAGGAGTGGGCACAATCAAAATTTGGACTTGTGATGACTGGAATATTTCAACAACAGGTGACAAAGAAACACGAAAAACATTTTTTATGTTACCAATGGAATTTAAAATAAGATGTCGCAACAAAGGTATCTCACAAATAACTATTATCAATGCGGAGACTGAAAATGATGATCACCAATAACATTACCATGTATTTTTGATAAGCTATTCCTGTGAGCTTATCAAGAGAAAGCTGTTCAAATTCCCTACATGCAAATGATAGAATAAGAATCATGATTCAGAGTCAAAACAAGAACCAAAAAAAAAAATCTCAATATGATTAAAAAAAGCACTTACTTCTCTTGTAGCTCCTTTGCTTCCTCGGTAGATTTTAAAAGTTTGTTGAGCAGATTTTTCTTCCTGGAAACCTATATCATCAACTATATTAGGACAACAGCCTATAGCACTATACATATAGGGAAACATTTCGGCATTTCACCTTAGCACAAAATACACACATAGATACACAAAGATATCATTTGGCACATTCAGATTCTTCACTTTTCTGATGTAGTCTACCAATCAGATTTCTCCAAAAAAATAGACTCTAGCGCCAATGAACAATTACTTGAAAATTGTGAGGGCAGTGTTTACAAACTTAGAACAATAATTGGCACGCATAATAAGCATTACTACTATACCAACGCTTAAAATGGAAATCCATTATTATCTATTAGTAGTATTTCAATATAAACAAGTCCTTATGGGTACTATAGTTATGATTATGAAATTCTACTTTACAGGTTCAGACCATAGCCCAATGATCCACTTATCCTCAAAAAGCTGGTGAAGTTCACCACTTCCAGCTTCCGGTACACAGGGCGTTTGATCATTTGCAGACTTGGGTCGTGCCTAACCTATTTTCTTGTCCAACGGATCTACTATGGCAAACCTCCCTTTTCTATGGTTTGAAATCTTGGGCCTAAAAATCCTTTTATATTTTTAAGAACACAACTTGTATAAAATCACAAGTTATGCAAAATAATTCAAATAAATAACAATTTTTCTAACTTAAAATTAGACATAAATACGTAACAATGTACATAATTTAGAAAAAATTTGTTTCGTAAATTATGGAGTATCGATAAAGGAAATGACCGAATGAGATAATAAAGAAGTGATCTATTGAGGTAATTATGTTTCTAATTTTAGATTTTTAAAGAGTGTTATCATCATGAGTCACAATTGAGTGGGAATTGATAAGTATCAAGAAATTTTTAATTTTAGTTGTAAATTTTAATTATAAAAGTTAAATAATATAAAAATATTAACAGGCCAAGTGGGACTGCCCCATTTTTTTTTCCATCGTCCATGATCTCCCATTAATTTTAACAAGTCAATCTTGGCTCGTCCATTTCTTTGAGAATGGTGATCCCTGCCCGCTTTTCTAGCAGCCCCAACAGGGAGGGTCTAGTGGGCCGTCCCGCTCGTGGACAGCTCTAGCGTATAATCAGAATTCAAATATATATATTTCCACCGTCAAAACAGACTTATACCTGTTGATTGTGCTTTTCTTCCAGCCTACTGATATCTCTGCCGACATCCTCATCTCCAGGGTGTACTAAATCCGGCTGTACAAACATGAAATGCGAATTTTAGGTACATAATTTGAAGATTCCCAGCATGAAATAAATTCTAGTAACCTACACCAGCACACAACACACCAAGAACACACACATGTGAATTGGGGGTTGGGTGGGGGGGGAAGAACGCATGTGAGTAGGAGAAAAGGACACCTACCACCCGTGCAGGGTACAGTCCAAGACTATGAATCTCAACGAGAAGTCTTTCATCCATGGACATACTAGCATATTGATAATGAGAACAGGTTATGCTAGGCATCATGGCTGGATCCGAAAGTTGACCATCGTAGTAATGATCAAAACCCGTAGCAATTGCTGAATCTGCCATGGACATAACATGATTATCTGACTGGCTGTGCCCCAGCTCATTACACGATCTTAATGTAGAATCTACCCTTTGACTGCTGGCAAAACTTCCACCAAGTTCGAAGTTCTGCAATGACCGGAGATTAATGGCATTGGATTCTACATCTGGTTCAAGCTCAAATGCAGGTCCATAAACATCATACTTCAGGTCATCATTTCCACACCAGGTGTACTCATTGTTATCTTCTTCTGAAATTAGAGCAGCAAGAAGTCTTTGACAGAGGGAAATTCCCCCGGGACAAGTTCCTGACGTTAAATGCTCCGAGCATTCACTACTGCTTCCAGTTCCACTTTGCGGAGGTTCAACCAACATATTTCCATTAGGGTGTGAATCACAATTATCTATTGGGTTTGCGGTGTTAGCAGTTGATCGAATGTTTCCCTGTGGAAGAGTAAAAGATGAAAGAAAGTTGAAGTTAAATATAAATATCCATCAAATATTGAATCTAGACCCAAGGATAACTGATTTAATTAAATAACTTAACATTTTATTCCGACTGAAACTGAATGATTCCAAAATTATTATGATCAACAAAAAAAAACCATTAATTTTACATAAAAAGTAGCAAGCTCGTCTGAAACCAGCAAATAATGCTCAGAAAATTGTGCTAGCAAGATAATCTCAACTGCTTGTTAACAAACAACTTGACGAATTTCAAGTTGTGGAAATATAGAATCAATGAATCATGCAACACAACTAACAGGAAATACTATGAAAGAACTTTGAAGAGTTAAAATATGCAAGAAGAAAGCTTTTTTATGCTGGGAAATATAACGGTCAACAATGAATGAGACAGAAATCATGTTATATATTACAGACCTAAAAAGAACCATCACCTCTTGCTTTATAAAAGTCACATCTGCATCAGATACAAAACCAAAAAGTGGATCCATCTGCCTCCAAAAAGGGTTGGATAAAGCACAACCTGCAATTGTCAATCCATCAATAAGAGCTGCATAAAACAGTACTTAACGAGAAATTTGAGCGATAGCCAGTGAAAACAGTACTAGGATTAATAACAGCATTCACAGCAGCCAAAAGTTCTTCATGCCCATCATCTGAAGCAACTAAAAAACATAATCTTGGTTAAAAAAAGAGCATGAACAAAAGAATCTAGAAACCTAATTCTTGTAATGAATAGTCAAGAGTTCCTATACCAAGAAAATCCGTAGCAGCAGTAATTGCAGAATGTTTCTGACGCATATAAGCTTTGCGACCCGAGAGTTTCCTAGTGGGAGGCCGGCCTAATTTACTGTGAATATTTCATGAAATATGAATGTTATAGAAGCAAAATTTCAGAGGAACAGCAGGTAGAGAGATAATATGTTATGGGAAAGCAAAAGTGTAAAACCTTTCAGGCTTATCAAAACCAACTCTGCCAGTTCTAAGTTGTTTCGCTGTTCCCACTATTCCAAGCTTTTGAACTGGTACAACAGATCGTGAAGAAGCCAAACCCCTCCCAGTTCTGCCTTGTCTACAAACCCCATGAGCAAGATCATTCTCGCTCATCAACTTATTCTTTCTTATTGGAAGAACAGATGTTGACATCTTTTGAACATTCAGTCCGGCTTTCTGTTCCACTTCCTCAGACTTGCTGCCGTTATCCCTAGATCTTATTTCATTAGCCCCCGACTCCTCACTTTCTGATAATGGAGATGACTGAAGATGGTCACCTTTAGATTTGAATTGCTTAGGAGAGTTGACCGGAAACCGTCTTGCAAACCCACGTCCTTTTTCGCTGACAGTTACATCACTGTTACCCAAAACCGAGACTTCGTCATTGCTAGATACAACAGGGACAAGATTGGTTCTCCTTGCTGTACGTGACATCTTCTGGGGCCTCCGTTCAGCCCACTGTGCTACAGGTGGAGATGAAGACCGTGTTGATAGAGTACGTTTACGGTTGGTAGAACCAATACCACCAGGGCTCTTACTTGTACCATGAGGTGATTCCAAACCATTGGAAACAGTCGCCCGCTGAACATGGCATAATTTAGGTATGACACCTGACCCTGACCCTGACCCTGACCCTGACCCTGATCTTGGACCTCGAGCAGCTGCATGCAGTTTCGTGGTAGGAGTACCAGAAATGAAGTCTTCACGGACATTGGCCCTGGTTGTCAGGAATCAACATCATACCCATCATGCGATTTAGTATATTATACAAAGAAATTTGAATTTAAGAAAAAAAAAATTAACAGAAAGATAACATCACATGATGGAAGAGCAAGGTTCCAGAACAAAAAGCTAATCATGCATAGATGCAAACAACGGATTAAAATGTGATACAATTCTTGTTAAAAATAAGTCCCATACTTGTTAAGAGCTCTGACATTTGTCCTTTCCAGCTCTAAGTTAATAGTCGGATCTCTTTTATCATGAAGAAAAGATGTATTCTCTTGCTCAGGTCTTGGGATGGAAGAACGTATACCCATACTGGCCGGTTGAGCAGAATCAGCTTTTCCAGCTCCAATACCTCCATTAGCAGCTCCTGGCCTACATCAAAACGTGCATCGGAAATGAAATTAGTTTGACTAGAAAATTATAAAACTCGGCATACAAAAGCATAATCATTTGACCAAGAAAAGATGCAAGATTCTCAAGGAGAGCTGTTACCTGTACCCGTGAGAATCATTTAGCCTTGACTTTGCATCAGGAAGACTCCTCGGGTGCATCCCCTGCCTGGGTTCCCTGCATCCATCAATAGGTTTTGCCGACAATAAGCTTGTACTTGGAGCAGCATCGGCCTTTATTCCAGAGCGTTTCTTCTTCATTTTTGCCTTTTCCCATCCATCAGCTACAATTGGCAATACGCGATCCTCAACCTGAAGAGCAGTACTGTTGGGAAGTCTAAGAACTTCTCTATCCCTATCTACAGACCCAGATGATCTAGCAGGCGTGTTAGGCCGTACATCTGCCTGCATTTCTCAAAAAACACATGAATCAGACTAAAAAACAACCACAATCATAGGAAAAGACAAATAGAGAACCCCAGGAAAAAACCCACATTCAGATTAATCATTTGGAGGAAATTGAAGAGTGATCAAAAATTAATAATTGCACGCTGTCTAAATAAGATAATTTTTAACACATTTTAAGTTGTAAATATGTGGAAGCTCAACTTATATATACTACAAATTAAATGACAAATCCACCGAGGTTAATAAAATTGGAAATATTATAGGAAAGATGCAAACCCTTTGATCCACCAAGGAAGTTCTAGTTCGTTTGTTAGGAATGGTATTTTTCCCCCTCTCTTCAATCTTCTGCTGCTCGTAATCAAAAGCACCAGTAGAAGCATGGCTTTGGGTACCCATCTTGCCCACGGCTGTACGATCTGCAAGTAAAGCATTAGAACGATCACCAGAAAAAGCATCTGGTCGAGATCTCTTCCTCGATGGTATACTTGGAAAACACTTGTTGATCACCGACAAGACCTCACTGAATATCTTCACTCGCTCCCTGATAAGTGAAAGAATATTATGAAAAGAATAAACTTTATACCCCAAATTAAAAAACCCATCAAGAAAATTTACCTCGCTTTAATGGTCGATTCACGCAGACCAACCTTAAACCGTTTCAGATCCTCGGGGGACGAAGAAGGCAGCTTCCCTTTCAATGACCCAGATGACGAATCATCTGGTGCACAAAGAGCAGCATTTGCAAGTCGCTTAAAATCCCCATGGCGATTACACTTGTATTCAGCAGCCATTGACTTAAGATCGAATCTTAAGCATTGAAAAAAATTAGTCACATCCCCTTGACTTACATTTATAGTACTTCTCGACATGCTTGGAAGAGAAGATAGTATTGGATTATCCATGTTTTCACGAAAACTGGCTGATCTGTCCATTGAGGCAGCTGTATAGGACCCACGCTTCCCTGAAGTATATAATGGTCTGCTTGGGCTACTAGATGAAAGATCAAATTTACCAGATGATGCCATTGCACCACTTTATATACATTATCTGTGTTACAAACCCTGTCAACACAGTCGTGCATGACAATACCAAAGTGTCACAGCACATGAAAGCAAAGCTCAAATTTTGTCCCAGCAGAAGAATAAACCTAAAACATGAAAAAGTATATGATTCAGATCTCCATAAATAACCCAGCTGAAGAGGAAAAAGATTTAAGCAGTTTGTTACAAGACTAGGGCCTGTATGTTAGCAGCTTAATGAGCTTAATAAGACTCTGTTTGGAAGTTCTAATGATAAAGGCAGTGGCTTATTCAGTAAGCTTCTTGCGGGAAGCTTTATGCAAAAAGCCAAGTTTTTTTTCCAAACCTTCCCCTCACATTTAAAAACACGCTCCTTCCATCTATGAAAAAACTCCATAAAAACCTTCTCAAACTATACAGACAGCTTTATCCATACAGAACTTAATGGAAAACCTACCAAAGGAGCTGTTTGGTTGGTTTTCCATCAAGTCCTGTACGGATAAAGATGTCTGTCCGTATATATTCGAAAGATTGGGAAGAGTTTTCTTTGGGAGGGTTTTTCTTAGATGGAAAAAGCATGTTTTTAATCGTAAGGGGCATGAATGAAAAGAACTTGTTTTTATGGTAAGCTCCCCCTAAAAACAACCTGAATAAGCCACTTTCTATATCATTAAGCCACTACCTGAAGGTTATGTATAGCTTACCGAAGAAGCTGTGAGTTCCATTAAGCTGCTAACACACAGACCCTAATTTCCTTTGGTTCATGAAAGTTCCAGCTTCAATTCTACCCGTAAAGAGAAAAACAATAAACTGACTGAAACACACTGATAATCTAACATTTTAAGTGTGCTCATACTGGAAACATGACATTTCTAATCCAAATCATTCTGATAATAAAGGCAGAAGTAGATTTATTAATAACATACGCCATGACTCGCTGCAGTAGATTGCTCAGATATCGAAGTTTTTACAGTAGAAACAGAGGTTGTCAAATGTATATAACTACGCCTACAGGCCTCTCGACCAAGTTGTTGAACACGTTATTCATCAAGTACTAATTAGTAAGTGGAGTTATAATTAGTATACTTAGTTTATTACTAAAAAGATAAAAGGACATCAGAACATATAATATATACTATCTATTCGAATTAACCACAAAACCATGGAAGGAAATCATTGCAATTTTAAGGATTCTAAGTGAACTCTGAGGGGGAATACGAGTAACTTCTTAAAATGAGGGGAATTAAATAGAGAAACAGAAAGGGAAGTAATATCAAAAAATAAAACTCTGTCCCCTACCTCCTGCTTTTCCTCTAATATCATGCCAAACCCCCTTTGGAAAACCCTAATAATTAATACGATGGCTACAAAATCTGAAGCAGCATCATTGAATGATTATTGGAAGTGACACTAGAAGATCAAAGGTCATGCTCATCCAAAAACACCATCTATCTCTTCTTTGCTTCTTTCAACTTCCGAATTATCTCAATATATTTGTGTCTTATTAGCATGAGGTCCATTGATTTGGAAAATTGATTCTAGAAATGCTTCCACAAAAGGATATTCATGAAACAATCATGACTTCCAATCTTAACAATTCTAGAGGTTTCCCTCACTCTGAAAATATGACACCTATACATATTAAGGGCAGGGAATGGTTTACTCCTTATCAAAACATAAATTACTCCTTTTCACCAAAGAGAAGATAAACTTGGACTTGGGTGAAGGGTTTCATACTTCACCTTAAATCTTAAGGTGACAACCCTTCTAAATTCTAATAATCCTCCAATCTCACAAACAAATTATCGTCTAAAACACAAAAAGATGCGCTTCAAGTTACTAGCTGTATTGCATTAGCAAAAGCAAACTTCAATGCTCCCTAATGATGAAAAGTGAATTCCTTAAAGCCACCTAAGAAAGACTTGCAAACTGAAGTTGCGCAATTTCCAGTTGTCAAATCTCATGAGTATAAACACGATGACGGGTTAAAGGTCTTGGCAAGTATCTAAATGATATTAAGACTTTGCAATAAGATATGGCCAACAACAGTCCTAGATTATGAGAAAATCCGACTTCTATTACACCAATCCTCATGATAATTACCTTCCCAAGTCCAAAATTTCCAACATGAAACAAACAAACACATATGTACACCATAAGCAACTCCCAAATTTTGAAGTAAGGAAAAGATCAGTAGATATCTTCTTCAAGTAATATGAAGGTTTCCTTATCAGGTCTTGTATGAAACAAACTAGCACATAAACACAAAATAGGTTATAAAATATATACCATAAGCATTCAACATTACAATCTCTCTTTCTCGATCTTGATCAAAAAGCCCAGCTGATATTCTTGCGTTCACCATAGAAAACTAAATCTGTGACATTCCAAATATCTTTTTTTCTGGATTTTAGTTCAAACAGCGATTTGATCTCGATTGAAACAAAAGAACGATAATCCAATTTGTAATTCCTGTATCTATTAAGTACAAATCTTTATCAAAATAAACATCCAGTAAATATTCCTCCTTAAAAGGCGGAAAGTATTTAAAGGGTATCCAAATCAGAATACAATACATATACTTGTGATCTCGGAAAGTATTTAACTACAATACAGAAAAATTATATATACACAAATCATGAAACAACTGTATACACCTAATTCCTACAAATTGGTGCTAGTTGAAACCCTAAAACTCCAATCGACGATACAAGACGACTTAAGAATAGATTAAACAAAATCTTACAAACCCACAAGTAAATCGGTGACATAAAAGAAATTAAACAAGAAAAGAAAACCCCCGATACAGATTTAGACGTATATATACCTTTAGTTGCCAACTGGTTAACGCGTGTGAAATTGATGCTTTCAGGGTTTATACGAAGCTTAATCGATTTGTGGGGGAATTTAACGTTAGGTTTTCTTTTGAGAGATTTGGGTTTCTTTTCGTGAAAGATTCTAATAAATAATTAGATGTGTTCTTGAGTCCGGAGCTTAAACAAAATCAAAAGTTCGTTTCCAACCCCATGGCAGCGCCTCCCTCCCTGCCTAGTGTTTACTTACGATCGGAGATGCGAGTCTCGAATTACCTTTTTACCCATGGTCTTTTCGATCAGAAAGCTGCAATCTGCCCTTTGAACCATGGGCATTATTGGAATGTTCCACAGCTCAAGCCTGTATATAAATCAATTAATATTAATATATGCACCATATTAATATTCTATAAAATTTGGATTTTTAATAAAAAAAATATTATATTTATTTTGTATTCTTAATTTACAATAATAATTTAAATTTTTCCTGCGTAAAAAAAAATATTACGTCCATATTTTGAAACAAATGTTGGAACCTGTAGACATCTTTGTTGCTAGCTCGGTTATATAGGTTTAGGAGACACTGTCTGAACAACAACACTATTAATGCAACTTGATCTACATTAAGAATTTAAAACCATAACTAATGTTTGGGGAACCGATTATTGAATCTTGTAGACACCTTTGCTGATAACACCCACGACACGACCTAGGGTTTAGGAGACTTATTTGAACAACAACATTATTAAATTAATATACCATGGTTTACAATAAAAATTCAAATACTACTATATAAAAATACCTTGATGTCTGGAACTCATTGTTGAACCAGTAAATGCCATGTTAATGGATCAGTTACACACATTAGTTAGGTTTCATGGGATATGTCGGAAAAACATTATTATCATGACCCTATTAAATGTAATATGATTGGATTTTGTTTTTTATGCCATGGTTGTTTAAAATTGGTTACGAGAAATTATGTCCTTTTTAATTTAATATGAAATTATCATGATGAAACTTATATATATAAATATCTTTCATAATCAAAGCTCAAAATAATGTAAGAGATAACGTGATGATAAAATCAAGCTTTAAGCCTTACATGTCATGGCGGGATATGATATTTTTCAAGGTGTGATATCATATATAATATTATATATGTATGTACATAAAGGGAGGGGGAAATCCCAAAAAATGAAAAACTGAGGAATACTTCGGTAACTCTTTATCTGAACGGTATGCATATGTGGTTACAAGTAAATAGTAATTGAATATGCTTTTTTTAGTTTTTATGTACGTGTGCATATAAACAAATTGCTTACAAATTACTTGTATGTAGATGTGTGTGCGTCAATTACCATGATGTTTCTTAATTTTTCATTTTCTGTGGTTTTCCTCGGAACTAACATGACCCTATACATATATTACTCAACTCAAATAATGATATTAAAAATGGATTTTATGATGTGGGTTGTGATCATACAAAAAAGAAATAAATTCAAACAAATCACAATAACCATTTTATAAGTTGAAAAAACAAAAAGTGTAAAACAATACATATATAAGAAAACGAATAGGGTTTCCCAACTCCCATACATATATAAGAAAATGCTTTCTTTTTCCTTCTTCCACAAACAAAACCATAAACCACTCTGCACCAAACCCTAACATAACATCTTCTTAATAAACTACCATTCCAGGAGTAAGCAACCTAACTTGTATTTCTATTACTCAACCCCTTTAATATCTTTTCCGTTTTGTTTCCCGTGCATGTGAATGTTGAATCGATGCTCTTCATTTTAGATCTGCCATTGATTGAATGCTGATATTTTTGTGACTATATAGTTAGTTGCATTCGACTATTCCAGCCTTTTTTCCTGGAGGTTGAGATGCTATGTTTTTTTGCTACCATGATCCTAGATTTAAACTTGAGAGTTCAATCTACATTATATGTCTGCTTCTGAAACTATTTGAGATTATCAATTCGTTGGAGTACGAGAAAGTAAAGATAGAGTTTTGTACATTATAGTACAAGGTATTTGACTGATTGTTGCATTACATCTACATTTGGGAAGATAACGAAATCGCAATGTGGCACCCCAACTGACATATGTTTGGCTTTTGGTTACTCTTTTTCTCTGTTTTGTGTAAGATTGATTGTTGCTTTTATTCTTGCAGTCATGGCGGGTGTGATACATGAAGGATCTCAGTTTGATGCTAATCAATTTGATTAAAAAATGAATGAGTTGTAAGCTTTCCTCAATTTGATTTTTTAGTTGGTAATTACATTCTTTTTTCAGTGGGAAAACTACCTATTATTGAGATCATCATCAGATACTACTATCAACGCAAGTTAGTGCTACTGAATGAAATTAACCTAGTGTTACTTAATCATTATAGCTATCGGCTAATCGGGTATGTTAATTTTAAAGCACACAAATATTTTAGCAAATATTAATTTATGTGGTAGTTTTTATGGTTTCTGCCTCCATGGTAAACAATTTAAACATTCAAAACACGTGGATTCTAATGAATTATACCAAAAATCAACTGGTGTTAAGCTTTGATTCTACACCCAGGATATGTGTGCTTTCATAGCAAGGGAAAGGTTCAAACAAGTATGAACACCTTTTTACTATAGTCAATCACATGTGATACTAAATGAGTGACATGGGCGATCTTTGGCTAGGTCCCACACCACCAGGTTAACCCACATGTTCGCATGTGATAAGGATATTCACGTGTTTTCATATGATGAAGATGTTCTTGTTAGAACCTCCGTCCTCCACCTTCCCAGTAATTCCTTTTTGTTTACTACTTACTAGCCATCTTAACTTGGTACCAAAAACTCAGGTCAATTGGCCAAAAACCTCTCGTTTACAAATTGATGAAAATATATCAATTGTAAGTGGTTTGCTGGTGTTGGAATATGTCTAAGATAAAAAATTTGTTTCGATCATACAGGCTTTCATCTGACAGACATGACTTTTTTACATCATATAATGAGGTTTATGATAGTTTTGATGCCATGGGTTTACAAGAAAACCTATTGAGGGGCATCTACGCTTATGGTAAGTCTTATTTTGTAGTCTTGTATGCTTTTATGTCAATAAAATTATGTTATGAATTTTCTCCATCACATTATTTTGGGACGGAGGAACTATTTTGAACTTGATTGGAATAAATCTTATTTAGTCATGACACATGAGTTATGTGAATGTAGGTTTTGAGAAACCATCAGCGATTCAGCAAAGGGGAATTGTGCCCTTCATCAAGGGTCTTGATGTAATTCAACAAGCTCAATCTGGAACTGGAAAGACCGCAACCTTTTGTTCTGGTATCCTTCAGCAACTCGAATACAATGTGGTAGAATGTCAGGCCCTGGTTTTGGCCCCGACCCGTGAACTTGCACAACAGATTGAGAAAGTTATGCGTGCACTTAGGGACTACGTTGGTGTGAAGGTGCATGCCTGTGTTGGTGGAACTAGTGTTCATGAGGACCAGCACATTCTCTCAGCCGGTGTCCATGTTATTGTGGGTACCCCTGGTAGTGTGTTTGACATGCTGTGAAGGCAGTCATTACGTTCTGACTACATCAAAATGTTCGTGCTGGATGAAGCTGATGAAATGCTTTCAAGGGGTTTCAAGGATCAGGTATGTTTATACTTTTGTGCTTCTCTAGTCTACTTACTAGGACATATTCATACATATATATATATAGGCAAAAGATTGTGTGAGAAGGAGAGTTAAGGTGAGAAGCGTAAGAAAGGATCTGGAATCACCTCTAATCTCAAACCCACCCATGAATCATGCTTTATACGGGGATCGATCTTGGTGCATCTCATCCTAATGTGCATCCAAGGGTGGAGATCTCTTCTTACACTTCTCATCTTAACTCTTCTTTTCACTGGAACCCAACCCTATATATATATATACAATGTCCGTTTAGGGGAAAACCTCCAAAAGTTGAAGAACTGGGGAACATTCTGGTAACCATTCATCTGGGTGGTATGCAAATGTGTATATAAGGAATTTGTAAGCAAGAAACAATTTCAATTACTTGTATGCATACTATCTAGATGAATGGTTACTAAGGTGTTCCAAAGTTTTTCATCGTTTTGGGGGTTTCCCTTGAACCTCCCTCTCTCTCTATATGTGTGTGTATATATATATATACATATACATATATGTTTGATCTTTTCGGTAGGTAATGACTAGTTATAAAGGTCATGTTTGGCAACGATAGGCTAGCTTATCTTTGAGCTTATTGAAAAAGTCTTTGATTGGTAAGCGTAAGCTAGTTTTTTTGAAAAGCCACTTTAAGTAACGTTTCAGTAAGCTCCAAAGGCTTTAATATCCAATTATGTTCCCTTTTATTTTTTCAAATGTCATCATTCTAAACGATGAACAATTATTTTGTTGATGCAGATTTACGATATCTTCCAGTTGTTGTCGGCAAAGGTTCAGGTCGGTGTGTTCTCTGCAACAATGCCTCCCGAGGCCCTTGAGATCACAAGGAAGTTCATGAACAAGCCCGTAAGGATTCTCGTGAAACGTGACGATCTCACCTTAGAAGGTATCAAACAGTTTTACGTGAATGTCGAAAAGGAGGAATGGAAGCTGGAGACACTCTGTGATCTTTACGAAACTCTAGCAATCACCCTGAGTGTCATCTTTGTAAACACCCGTCGGAAGGTCGACTGGTTGACGGATCAAATGAGAAGGCGAGACCACACGGTGTCAGCCACACAAGAGACATCATCATGCGGGAATTCCGTTCTGGATCGTCACGTGTACTCATCACCACTGATCTGTTGGCTCGTGGCATCGATGTACAAGAAGTTTCACTGGTGATCAACTACGACCTTCCGACACAGGCAGAAAACTACTTGCACCGAATCGGGCGGAGTGGGCGGTTTGGGAGGAAAGGGGTTGCCATAAATTTTGTGATATTGGATGATAGTAGAATGCTTGCAGATATCCAGAAATTTTACAATGTAGTTGTGGAGGAGCTGCCTTCAAATGTGGCTGATTTCATTTACATCAAATTATTAGGAGGAACTTCATTTTGAGTCTATGCTTTACACTTTCATACTTTTACTATCTTCATACTTTGCCATGGGAATTAAAATAAACAAAAAAAAAAAAAGACTAAAATAATAATAAATTTAAAATCATAAGGATTAAAATTGTGATTTCTAAATTACAATTTTTTTAAAGAATTAAAAAAAAAGGATGTTTGTGTGTGGTTGATGTCAAAATTGGGCATTCAACAAGGCAAAAAGATTGTATTTAATTTATTTATTTATCACTTTCTGTATTTTATTTATACATCTCATGGTATTATTTAATAGTATTAGTAGATATATATGACTGACTGCTCGTCTGAATGCTGGACTTTGTTTGTTAAGTCGAGTCTAAAACGAATATGTACGGTTTTGACTTTTTTTTTTAATCCAAAGTCAAACATATAAAATACAGAAATAAGACCAGACCAAATCCCTTTTCACCTTTTAGTTTTTAAACTCAAAGTAAATATATATTACATTACATTTCAAAATACAATCCAACCACATTTAAATAATCAATTAAGATATTTATGAAATATTTATGGAAGATAACTAAAGTTTATTAATTAATGATCAATACTTTATATTACGAAACAATCAAAACATTTATGAAATTACATATTCATCAATTAAATGTACGTTTGAGATTGAATTGTATTAGTTATACAAATGTAAAGGGTTGCATATAAATTGAATTTTATAGTATTAAAAAAATATAATTATAAATACAAAAAAGATTACATTCACTTCCTCTATGAATACGATGTTACAGGCTACACTACACCTTCTCTGGCTAAACTTAAACTTAAACTGTATTCATAATCATACCTTTTTCTCTGTTACCATCATCTAAAATTAAAAACAGAGTTGGCATATATATATATATGTATATAACATCATATTATTACTATTAGATTCTAAATACACAAAATTAATATCTAATTCTAATTAAAAACACTTACGCCATGGATACCATGCAACAGGTTATGAGCTATACTGTCTCTGTTTTGAACTGCATCTGCCGATAATGATTTATCCCCCCACCCTCCTTCCGACTCCGACTCCGACACCACCATCTCGTCATCATACAACTCAAACCTCAACTCCCCATCCATTTCCTCCCCGTTCATCTCACATATGTTATGCAACACACAGCACGCCCCTAACACCATCGGCAATTCTTGCAATTTCATTTCTGTCCTTTTCTGTAGACAACCCCATCTCCCTTTTAGCCTCATAAATGCTTCTTTTGCCATCTTCTCTACTTTCCCAACACTTTCGTTAAACGAATGTTGACCCCATGTCAAATTCGGGTGCGTATACGGTACCAGCATCCAATCGCTTAACGGGTAACCCGAATTACCCACGATCCATGTGTTCTGCAACACCCCCATCTCCGACCTCTTACATAATGCCGATCGTTCCAGGATTTTGTCATCCGCCATCGACCCTGGATACCCGATACATACGTCAGTAAACACGCCTCTCTCGTCCACCACGCCTTGAACCGTTGTGGAGTATGACGGTTTTTGGATTCTGTCTGTGTGTTTTCGGTTGAAATAAGCCTCTGGGTTTGTTTTTGGGGCGATTATCGATATATGGGTTGTGTAGATTGCCCCGCCCACATCCGGGATGCCGGAGATGGATCCGAATTTGGTTTTGATTTCTTTTAGCCGTTCTTGATCGGGCCACTGGATGAATTTGTGCATTAGCACGGCTTTGATTGCGGCGCAAACTTCCAGGACTAGTTTGTGGCAAGTGGATATTCCCAGCCCGAACAGGGCCGACACTTTTCGCAGCGGGTCACCAGTTGCCAACCGGTAGATACAGACCGCGACCCGCTGGCGAACAGGGATCGCCATTCGAAGCATTGTGTCTTTTTTAGTGACGGCCGACTCCAGCTCGTTGCAAATCATGTTAAACGTAGCTTTGCTCATCCGGAACGCTTTTCGAAACTCCTCATCCGGACATCCGTCGCTATTGTGATATTTCCACCACCCCTTTGACCTTTCTTTCACCCACAACCTCCGCTGTCCACCTCTTCCGCCGTGGCTTGCATCTTCCACCGCCGTTCCTCCGCTATAACTGGCTGCCGGAGGCGGAGTCGTTGATTTTCTCACCCTCCCCTCATCCCAATCCGCCATTTCAGAGGCACTATTTTCAAAATACGAAGTGGGTGTCCCCAAAACTTGGTTGATTTCTTGTTCGTCGATCTTTGGCTTCTTATTGAGGGATGTTTGGGTATCGGTTTCAAGATCTTGGATGTAAGTGTAGATATACTCGTAGTCTTCTTGAGTGAGAAATGGAGTTGAATTGTTTTCCATATTGAATTTAGGATGAAAAATATGAATTCGAAGAAAAGGGATTGAAGATTTGTTTATATACGTAAAGAGATGAAAATGGAAAGAGCGTAAAGAAGCGTGTGAACGCGGAGAGAGAGAGAGAGAGAGAGGAAGAGAATATTCATTTGGCGGTGACCTGACCTCCTTCCATTGTTACTCTCTGTGTGTTCGTTTTATATAAATGGGAGAAATGTCATTTTAACCCTTCAATAATCTATATACTTACAATTAGGTCCCTTTTACGCATCAAAATTTTAATCAAATCAAATATATATATATATATATATAATAACGGTTCAGTTCGATCATGACTAAACCGATGTTTTTTTACACATTAGAAAATAAAAAAGATTTATATATTTATAGGTTATTATCATATTATGTAAACAATTTTGATCAAATTATCTAGGATATACATCATAGGTTAACTCCAATCGAGTACCCCAAATTGCTTTGGTTTTTGCACTTCCATCTTTGGATTAAGGAAAATGGAAGTATGTAATCACTTGGATTTTAGTATACTGGTTAAAATTTAGAAGGGTGTCGTGGTAAATCTCATTATCTTGAGTTCAGACTTAGGTCATGCCATTATAATGATGAACGTCCACTAGCGATGACTCTAGGTTATTCGTGGTCGTCCAGAGGACTAGTCGGTGTGCTAAAACTGGCCCAAAAACCGACGATAAAGAAAAATTTGAAGCAGGGGTTGGTTTGTAAATAGGGTGTAGATAAGGGGGCGAAAGTGAAAAGTATAGACGGTTGACGCGGTACGGAATTTTAAATAGAAAAGTGTGACTTGGGTCTCACGGAACCTTCGCAAAGGAAGCAAGAACGAAGCTTTGACTCTCACCCGTCAATAATTATTCTTTTTCCTCATTTTGTCCTTTCACTTCAGTTTTATTAATTATTTTGGTATATATATTTATTTATTATATTATTGTTTTTTTTTATGTATAACTAACATCAAGACATTCATTTTATATATTTTATTATATGACTTCATATAATTTTGATGTAAATAAATCAGTAAATAATAAGGACGAATCCATATTTTTTTTTCAAATGATGTCACTATTTCATTATAAGAAATAAATATAAGAGAAAAATATCAAACAGTGACACCACTTGAATATAAGAAATAAATATAATTTTTCTTCTTCTAATTCTGACACTATTTGAATATAAGAAATAAATATAATATAGATTATTTTTTATTCTTTATATTAGTGAGAATCCTTGAAATGAAATGTAAAAGGGAGATAAATAATATTTTATGAAAAATATTAAATATCTTAATAATATAATTCATATTCAGATTTCGAAAATGAAGAAGTTGTTGAAGATGAATATTTTTGTACACACTTCTTATAAAAAGAGATTAATATAATACAGCCATAATACACTATGAATATATGATTTTATTCATTTATGATTTTGATGAACGTATTCATAAAAAAACACGTTTTAAGTATGTATAGTGAGAAAGTATTTATTTAAAATTATGAGTTTGTTTATATATTTATACTAAATTAATAAACGTCATACTCATACTCGGTACTCGTAGTCGTAGTCTTTTTTTAGGAATATATTATGGGTGGTCAAAATTCATAGTATTGAGTGTTGGTTTTAAATTTAATTAATTATAAGGTCAAGTTGACTTACTTCATAATACATCCATATTTAAGTTAATAAATTAATAGAATATGAATTTATCATCACTCAGTATTTAAAAATAATAATTAACCAAACTTATAACAGTTATTGATAAGATTGGATGAAATCAAAACCAAACCCACAGGATAAATATATAGTTTTTGATGAGAATTAACTCCTAATCTCCGTATTCATAAACACAATAATACAAGAATTCGAATAACAAGAATTAAGGATTTTAAGAAAAAGAAGGAGACTCATATCTTAAAAGTAAATGCAAGACTGTCTTATTCAATTGAACATCTTTGTAATTATGTTTGTTTTTCTTCTCACTAAATATGAAAGCAATAAATACATTTGAATTGTTTGGAAAAGGTTAAGGATGATTTTATACTGCTATATTTTTAAAATCGAGATATTATCATAATCAAATGTAAAGGAACCAACATTAATTAATACACAGATTGGTATTTGATTTTGTTTGTAATTTAAATTGAATTAATATTGGATAAAAGCAAAATAGATAAATACACAATCTCATTGAATCATAGTAATTTAAATTATTAAACAATGATTTGTATACATGTGTTTTGTATGTTGTATATTTTGACCACAACATAAATATTATAAGTCTTGGGACAACACGTTTCTTGGGTTCACTCACAAAGACTTGTAAAAATACACACCTTCTATTAAAAGTTTGACTTCTCATTAATTATAGATTTTTGAATTACCAAGACCCTATTACTGTTTTGTCTTAAATCAAATTTAATATGAACTTCTTTTTTAAGGGAAAAGTCTAAAAAAAATTTAAAAATGATTACTGATAAAATTTATTTTAATTAAAAATAAAAATATATTTTATTTTTAATTGAAATAAATTTCACCAGTAATCTTTTAAAATATCTTTTTTAATTTAAAAAATCACATACGTGATATATTTTATTTTTAATTAAAATAATTTTTATCATAAATCTTTCTTAAATGTAATTACTTTTTGGTAAATGTAAGTATTTTTTTGTTATATTTGTTTAATTTTATAGATCTAAATACTTTTTGGTTCAACAAATGTTTAAGGACTTAATCTTTCAAAATATGAATGTTCATTGGGTTTTTTTGGACTTTTTCCATTACTTTACTTGTTGTATAGGTCATAAGAATGTATCTAATAGGTTTTAGAAAGTCCAAATAGTTATTTAACATGTTTTGGAATATCTAAGGACTTATTTGTTCCAAAAAATTGTCCAGAATCTTAATCATTCCAAACACTAAAGTCCATTGAGTTTTTTCAGACTTTTCCTTTTTTTAGACTATTTCGCTTGAGTATGCATAGGCTTTTAAGTTGGTGACTTATTCACACGAATAAAAACACTTTCAAAACTCAAAATGAAACAACTGCTCATGTTTCTTAACCTAATTTGTCATGTTTTGTTGATTGACAAGCACAATATCCAATTATCCAATTGAAGTATAACAAATTTTCAAAATAAATTGCATAAAATAAAGAGTAAATTACGATTTAGAAATTGCGATTTCCGTCCCTATTTTTGTTTTTGTCCTTGAACTAATTTCTATCTTTAAGTATAAAAAATGAAAGGAGTAAAAAAATATAAACCACACAGACCAAACAACAATAAGTTGTAAGTCATAAAGACAAAAATAGAAATCAATTACAAACCAAAGAGACGAACCACAAGGAGAAAAACACAATTTACTCTAAGATAAATGTTTAAAGTAGGTTTATTTGAAACACTAATTTTGATACAAAAATCCTATAAGAAAACAAGTTCATAAATGTTAAGCTTATTTTAAATCATCAACAAAATAAACAATTAAAATGACAAGACCCTATTGACCAGTTACAAGGCCAACCATGATTCTTTTCTAGAAGGATCTCGACCAGTTATGACTAGAACCATTGTGAAAAGTAACTTTGAATCATAAATGTAGGACGGATATGAACATTGTGATTACACGAATAAAAATTAGTGTTCTAAAAGGTTCGTCACAACAACCATCGTATGTTGTGGTACAAGGCTTGTGTCTAACACCATGTTAAGCCCGTAGCACGCCATACACAGTTTTTGTAATGCGATATTTGATTTTACCAACTTGTTTTTTCCTTGGGGTTCAACCACATTGTTTATGGTTAAACAATTTGTACTTATAACATTCCAAACCTGGTGAAAAATGGCTAAATAATGAAGACCATTTTGCCCATTGTCCGCAATCCCAACTGGGAGGAGCAGACATGCTAATGATACAAGAAAATGCTTCATAATTTGATCATTGTGTTTGTTGATGTATCCTTAAGCATGAAACACAAATAAGGTATTCAATTTATATGTGCAGGATCTGGCTCTTATAATAACGAATCGAATCACCATATCTAAATGGTGAGATATGCTCTTACCATGGTTGCTCCGGTAGGATCAGAAAGTAGATGTCTAACGAGCCCCATTCTTAGGCTTTGAGGTGCTATGATAAACATGTAAAACGCAAACAGTACTAGGTCCGTCGAGGATAGAGAAGATCCTAGAAACCCCCACCACATCCTGCATTTCATTAATTCAAATACCCATAATCAGATCTTCAATTTTATAACATCGTTAAATTATTGTCATTTTATGGGGACTAACGTGTTGGAACTCGCTTAATAAAGCGTAGTTCTTGGGCTTTAAATGAATTAAGGGGTGACATGAGCTTGGACTTGAAGTGTTGATTGGGCTTGCAAATGACATTTACATATTAAATGTCAAAGGTAGGGCCTTGGGGGTGTTTTGCTTTTACAAGTATTTTGATTGATAGAAATAAAGTGGCACATATAGTAATTCATGGTTACTTCCCCTACATTTTTCTTTCTTTTGTTCATAGAATTACAACATTGGTTAGTTTTTCATTAAGTCTTTTATGGATAAATCTGTCTGTGTGGATAAATTTGTCGGTATAGATTGGGAAAGTTTTTCCATAGATGGGAGGAGCATGTTTGTTAATTGGAAGGAGCAGGTTTGGAAAAAAACTTGGCTTTTTGCATAGAGCTCCTTCTTAGAAGCTTACTGAATAAGCCATTTTCTATATCATTAAACCATTACCAAACAATCATGTATAGCTGACCAAAGAAGCTGTGAGGCCCATTAAGCTGCTAACAAAAAGACCCCAAGTTGTGATGGAAAGAATGGAGGGTAATAGGAGATACTAATGGTATAGTTATATCTTATTTCCCTCTACGCATATGCTTAACAACATTTTCAGAATGTCAAGCTATACAAAAGAAGGTATATACGCATTGAGATGAGATTTAAGTAAATATGAAGTGAAAGGATATAGTAGAAGGTTCAAAATTTACCACGTGGGCAAGCGGAAGAAAGTACGGAAGAATGTACGTGTGCCCTCAATATCCAGTTGCACGATGAGTGCTAAGCCAAAGAGAAAGAATGCTCTCTGTCTTTTCCTTTCCAGTGGCCAAAGAGTTTCCCAAGCTGAAGTACGAACAATTGGAATTAATCAAAACACCATCTAAATCGTACCAAATATACCCATGTACTTTATAATTTCTGCAGGTGTGCAGTGTGCTATTTACTCTCCGACTGATGGTGCATGTGTAAAACAACAATATCTTTGAAAATGAATTTCCAAGAAATCAATATTTGTGCAATCATCCCACCCCTTTGCCAACTGAGCTACACGCCAGAGGCACCAAGAAATCAATGATGTCTACTAAAAAAAGGAATACCTTGCTTTGAGATGTTCGTTGTGTATCTTCCCCGAGCAAGCATCTCTTTTGAATGGCCTTGCCTTAAAATCTTTGCAATTACTGCTGCATAGTTAGGAGCTTCTGAGAGCGATCTAACGACTGAATACCCTGCTTATTGCACATGGCAAGTGACATTAACCATTTGAAGCACGTGATTGGATGAAATTATGAAAATTTGCTTAACTTTATTACCTGTGGCTGGATGCACCATGCTAGCAGCAGCACCAAATGCAAGGTTCTTTTGTTCAGTATTCGGCAAGGATCCACCTACTGGAATATACGACCATTCCTTCCAAACATTGAAACAACCATATACCACCAATTTAGTAAGGATAATACAGATCTTTCTGAGTTACTTTAGAGAGAAAGGCAAAGAGTTAGTACCTCTTCATAAGTTTTGATTATTCGGATCCCCAATGTCTTTAATCTAGACATGAGCTTTGTCTTCAATAGATTGAAAGGCATGGCATCTCTTGAAGCCAGACAAGTTTCCTGCAATTATCTTTTTGAGACCTATCACACAGGATAGCGGAATGACAGTGTAAAACGGGAAAATGTGCATTGAGCAAACCTCAAAGAATATTTTAGTTGGAGACATGGGCATGGCATAAAGGAATGTTGGATATTCTGCTTCTAAAGATTGTGCTGTATTCTTGGTGTAGTCTCTATAATCCATGAAAACCATTAGGCTTGGATCATAGGGATTGTTTTCAACCTGCAATAAAACAATTTTTTTATTAGGGGGTGTTTGGTCAGAGGTATTAAGCAATAATCAATGAGAATGATAATAAAAGAAACTGATTGGTTTTATATAATATAATGGATTCATTCCCAAGAAGCCCAGATCTTCATTCCAAGTTAAACTAGGGGAATAAAAAGTCATTCCCATTTTCAATCACTGGCATATTTTCCATTCCCATTTTCATTCCCCAACCTGAACCAAACAGTCCCTTAGTACTATGAACATTATGTATCAAGAATAAGAAACACCACATCCTCACCTCAACCTCTACACCATAAGCTGTTTGAACACAAACACGGGGTCCCCCAAGTTCATACTGCAAAAGTTTTCCTGAAGCCGCTCCAGATGCAACCGTAGCTAGCCTATTACGAAAAAGACAATCAGTATAGAACTTTCAAGTGTTCTTGGAACTTGAATGACAGTCTACCTGCATGGAATGGTGACATTGCCTTCACACTCGATGAGACTGTGGCCATTTGGAGCTTCAGTTATCCTTTCCACTTTCGAGCTCAGATATGAAACACCTGACTCCACACACCTAAAAATTATATAAATTATCGTTTTACAGTGCTCAAAAGGATATACACTCAGGAGCAATTTGCTAACTTTCAAGTGCCTAGAAGGATAATCAAACAAGAAATTAGATATGGGAAATAACTAAAAGGAACATTACCTTTTCAACAACTCCTCATGAAGTAAATCACGATTAACTCGTCCATAGGCACGACCTATGAGGATGGGATCGTTGTCATCAAGATATACAAGAGTATCCCGCCAAACATGTTCAATACATCCCTCAAGTCCAAGTCCTGCAAACATATAGTAATTAAAATTCGAGCATAGCTCAGGCATGCCAAACATGTTAATTATTATGCATGCAGGTTACACCATCCTCCCTTCAAAAAAGAGGTAGAGTTTGAATTTCAAGGACGTTGACTTATTTTCATTTAAAACTTTGGAGAGACTTGTCGATAACCAAATCAATCTGTGTAACAAATACCACATACAAAAACTGTTGGCAATATTATTTTGGGATGGAACAAATTTGGCCTATAAAGTTATACCTCTTTTCTCGAACATAGAGTGCAAAAGGAAATGAAGATCCATACCTATGAATTCATCCTCCCAAACACCATAATTATTTGTAAAAGGAAGATCAGGCCCAATAAGTCCAACATTCAAGCCTAGCTTGGCTGATTCTGCAGCAAGAGCAAGGCCAGCAGGACCACAACCAATTACAACCAAATCCAATATGCAATCTCCAATCGGTATCTGTGGCAGCTGCAGCAACGAGATAAGATTTTCAGGAAATGACGGACAGCTGATTGATTCCGTGCTATCAAACATTAAAACTATCTACCAGATAACAAGATCCTATCATTCAACATATTCAGTGAAATGAACTTCACTAGCTGTATAGTTATCTAGTCTATGCTATGAAACTGAAAAGGACGGTTGCCTGTTACTGCTTAAATTTGTAAAGTTCAAGGTTCTTCATCATATATGCACAGACAGACTCATTGTCTCGCTCTAAGGGGCTGTTTTGGTTGGTTTCCGTTAAGTCCAATATGGATAAAGCTGTCTGTGTCGATTAAGTTATCCATATAGATTGAGAAGGGTTTTTTTTTTAATTGGGAGGGACAAGTTCCGAAACAACTTGACTTTCTGCATTAAAGCTTCTTATTAAATAAATTACATTCTATGTCATTAAGCCACAACCAAACAGCTGTATTTAGCTAACTTGAATAAGTTGAGAGTCTTGTTAAGCTACTAATAAACATCCCTAGAAACATTGAAAATGCATAGACAAGAGATAGTTTATGTTCAATAATTCTCACCATAAACCTCAAAAATACCAGTTTAACAGGTTCCACCGGTAATTGCCAGACTGAAAAATAATTTTGATAATTCAGAAAGACTACAAACAGTTTTTAGGTCTTTGAAAATTAAAGCGAACCTCCTCCTGTTTCATTTCTTCACAGATATGGGAATTGCGCAATAGCACGAAGAATATTACTAAATTCAGTAAAGGAGGTGATTACAGAGAGAAAAACAATCATACACATATGCATATATGGCAGTACAAGTCATAAAACTGGAAGTACAAGTACCAACAGCTTCTATCCGAAATAGTAATCTAATAACTCACCTTGTCGGAAAGACTAGACTGGCTATCCATAGCCTTATTCTGTTGCATTTGGACAAAAAGTAGCTCCGATCCACCGGCCTTCACATAATCTTCTTCATCTTCTTCGGAAATCCCTTCTTTAACCACTACACAACCGTCTGTTTTAGCGCTGCACTTAATTTGCCGCAACGACGACGATAATGATAAACTAGTAAATCTTCGATGTTGTAGTAATGAAAATCCGTGCGTGATATTATAGTTGATGAATCTAGGGCACGAAAAAACCGCCATTGTCGCCGTCATGTTCCGAGCTCCAAAGCACTCCATTGATAATCAAATTCAAAATCGGAAAGAATGGGATGATTTGATGAAGTTTCACGTCATTACTGAATTGTTTGTGTTGTTGAAGAACAATAATTAGGAAAAATGGAAGGAGAATCTGGAAAACTGTTACTATATGCTTTCTATCTCTTTCTCACTGGTTTTGAATGGATAGGAGGAGATGAGTTCTTCGGCAGCCAGGCTTGAATGCCACGTGGAATGACTTCAAAAACGCATCTGATGTGGCAGGATTTCATTAGTTGCATTAATGGCGATGGCCCTACAATGCTCCTTCTTTTTTCTTTTCATATAATTTCTAAAAGCAAAAGCAAATTCAAAATCATTATATTTAATCTTCACATTACAACATTCAGATATCATCTTTAACTTATTTTTTATATTTCTTATTTGAATTTACATAAACAAATTTATTGAAACGTCAATTAAAATTAAAATTAAAAATAATAATAATAAATATCTTTTTAGATTTTGACTTTTGATTATACATTTTAGAAAAATTGTTAGAGATGTCCTGAATAACCTTTTTACTTTTGCTTCATCAGATTTCCACCAACATCTTTTAACGAAAACTTATTTTACAACTCTACTCCAATGCAAATACTTTTTCATCAATTATATTTTAAACCATCCTCGTCTGTTTAAAATGTTTTATAAGGATCCCACATTTAATTTGTCATTTTAAAATCCATGTCACAATTGAACAAAAATTACTTAATGTTAAAAATAAAATGAATTCGTTAAGAAAATGAAAGACGATGTATATTTTTATATAAAAAAAATTATGTATTCAGTATTAGTGTCATTTGGATCATCTTAACCAAAGTTTTTTATTAATGTATTTTATTATTATTATATAATATAATTGATGGGTATTTAACTAACCAATCAAAATATAATAAGGTATAAAATGAAGAATCAAATAGAAAATGCTTTTGATTGAAAAGCAATGCATAAACACACTCTCAAAATCTTTTTGTAATAATAAAACCCTATAACAGACTTATTCACTAGAATGCTTCAACTAACAATACTATATTTAACCAAAGAGCTTTTGGCCTAGCGGTATCGTAGCCCTTGACCTTCTAGAAGGTCAGGGGTTCAAACCTCACCATAGGTGAGGAGGGTGTGTGAGTCTATTTGTTGCATTTGCCGTATATAAATATTATATACTTAAAAAAAACAATACCATATTTACTCGGCGTATATAAATATTTAAGGAATATACGATACACTTTGTGAACAAAATGATTCTTATTATCCACCTCATCATTATAATCCGATCGTCTTATGCATTTATTTATCTTTTTGAGCCAACTACAAGTTTTGATGTAAGGGAAAAAAGAGAGATGTGTGTGTGGAGGTTCAAACAAAAAACACCTTTAGTATCCGAACACTCGTATCATATATGATAATGCACGTGAGGGACCTGGTGGTGTGCAAGCTATCTGGGCCGTCCACGTCTATGATTTAGTATCACATGTGATTAACTATTAAAGTAAAAAGTTGTTCTTGTTGAGTAGTTGTCACATCTATGTCTCTAATTTATTTAGTTTTTATTTAAAAAACAATTAATATGATAAAAAAAATTATTTTCATCTATGTTTCATTTTTATGCGAATCTATTTGCTCCCTTTAATTTTACTAGTTTAACATTTAATTTTATTTGAATCAATATAGCATAAGAATTATTCTATGTATAAAAGAAGTTATAAAAACAATACAGAAATTAAATTAAATCAATATATAATGTAATACATGGATTTGGGCTATTAAACAATTTAAATTTTATCCATTTATATATTTCTTAATTATTAACCTAGTATCAAAGGCTTAATACAAATTAAAGGGTCCGTTCATCACAATGTTTATCGGGTAAAAATCTTACCCGTTTAACATTTTGGTAAACAGTCCCCTTAGAAAAGCGTTAATCAGGTAGGAGTACAGTTTGGACAAGCGTTAACCGATTAAGTGAGGATCTTGATTCTTATTTTGACACATTTCGTCAAAGTAAGTGGATAAAAACATTATTTTTATTGGGCCAACACTACTTACCCATTAAAAAGTGTTGATTGTAATTAGAGATGAACAAAAAGTCAAACCCGAACACGCATCCTAACAAGTCCAAAAACCGGATCCAAGCTAAGATTCAAAGTTCAACCAGACCGATATTTTACCTTCTGGGCCTGACTTAAAAAAGCCAGGTAAAGCAGTTAAATCCATATAAAAAAGGCCAATTGAACCCTTTTTCAACCCTAAGCACGTCCACAACTAAAGTTTTTAAATCCATCCAGTACAGGTATGAAAAATATCGGGTCTTATGTATCTGGTCAACGATCCTTTAAAACAACTAGGAATAATTTTTATTAACTTAAAAAAACATCTCTAAAAGATTCTTTAAAATTTTCCCAAAACGAAGAATTAAAGTTCAACTTATCTAAAAACATTTATATTTAGTTCTAATTTTGAAGATTATTATATCATTAAAAACTCTATTTTCACCATTTTAAAGAATACGTTGATATATAAAATTGCTTAAAATCCCATTTTCACCCTTTTTTGAGAATCTGTTGGATTTATTAAAAAAACCGCTTGAATTTGCCGCTCTTGCTATAAAACTGCTGTTATAACTATAAGAATCAGGGTTTACAGTTAGGGTTTTTTGTTCCGCCATTTGCCACAGAGACACGATCAGTAATGGCCGAGGAAGCAGGAGCGCCGGTGACCGCCGTTGTCGAAACCGTAAAAGATGATTCATCTGCAGCCCCACAAGAGATGGATCTGGAAACTGTTGAGCCGGCTAATGGCGGTAAGCGAGAGAGAGAGGAAGAAGTGACGACTGAATCGTCGGAGAACGGAAACAATGCTAAAAAACCGAAGGTGGATGAGGAGGAGAAGTCTGTGGAAGAGGAGAAGCTGGAGAAAGAAGCGGCGAAGACTGGTCCGGTGTCGGTTGGATACAAGAGCTTCGAGACATCTGTGCAGATTTTTGACTACTTCTTCAAGTTTCTTCACTTCTGGCCTCCCAATCTCAATGTCAATAAGGTATCTGGTTTCATCTCTGATTGTATATTACTTCATTAAGTTCGTAATTTCTCTCTGTTTGTTTGAAACATGATTGTTTTATGGTTTACTTGGATAGATGGTTCATAGTTTGGTTGATTGGATAAACGATATGAAGGTTACTGATGAATCATAGACTGAAAGTCAGTTTACTGGTAATTTAATAGGGATTTGGCCATTGAATACTGTTTTCGAAATTAAATTGATACCAAAAAAGAGGAACAATGACATTGATATAGATCTTCAAGGTCACTTACTTTCTTTAATTCCCTGCCAATCATAGCAAATGTTTGGATATAAAAACCTATGTAGATCAAACCAAATGAATCAGTAAATCTCTTTGCGAAGGTCTGGAGATGAGATGTAATAAGTTCTGCAAAGAGTAAGACTAACAAATGATATGAAAACCTATCTATTTATGCTAAGGTTTTTTTTTCTGGGTATGAATGGACTAGATCACTCTTGTATAATTTGATAGTAAGAGAACAGTTAGTTTAAGTTATAATACAAGAATACCAGATGTCAGGTTCATCATCGAGTCTTGAATTTGTGAATGTTATCATACTTTTTTGCATATCTATCAAGAAAAGTATGGAAAACTGTATCAAATTGAGCTCCGCAAAGGGGCTAATACAAAACTCCAAGCCTCAAGTAGTCTACTAATACTATCTAGTCCATTGAAATATAGTAAATCCATCAAGTCCAATAATCTTCTAGTCTATTCAGTAGTCTAAACATTTAGTATAATATTCCAAGTCCAATATGTATTTTGTATTGTTTATTCTAGTATATCGACTAAATAACGGTATTTTGAAGAGTGAAAAACGAAAACCCATGTTTGTTAATCAATGGTGTCATTTCAATTTGACGTTCTTATCATACTATGTATCTTGACACTTATAACTATACATATAGAAAGTAGACATAAAATTTAATGACTATAATATTTTTGAGTAGTCAAGTATCATCAACTAATATTTAATTAATTGGTTTAAAAATTGTAACATTCATACTTTTAAACATATCTTCAAACCGCACAACTTGAACCGAAATGTAATGGGTTGAGTTTTAAACTTAAAGAAGGTCGAATGGGTTGCGATTTTTCAAACCAAAATAGTATAGTATAAATTTAAAAGTTGTCTTACATTCTCTACATTCTTTATGGTATGCCAATTGGCATTTTTGTATCGGTATAAATAACTTTGCTACAGAGTCAGTCAACTATTAACTGGTGGAGTGGAGACATGGAGTACCCTTTTTTTTATCTATTCGCATTGTGGTTCATACCATTTTATGCCCAGAAACCAGAATGTGGCATTTGGCTGTATTCACAAATAAGACTTTAGCCTTTGTTGCTTATAGCTTGTATCTGATATCCTGAATGATGTCAAATTGTCAATGATTGCATACTATGAACAAGACAACCATACTAAGAAACAAATTTCATAAATTGTGGCATGCTATGTGAAGAATGGAAGGGGAAATTTACCAAACTAGTCATTTTAGATGAACATCTTCACTTCTTAGGCAATTTTTTCATGTTTGAACCAAAATAGCAACTAGCAAGTGCCTCTTTCACAACTAGTGAAATGTATTTTTTATGAATAATATATGATTCAGGTGGTTCATTTTGCAAGCTGTCATGCCCATCACACAACCACAAGCGGAGCCCAACGGAATCCTATATAATTTAGAAAAAGTACATTTCACAGGTTGCAAGGGCACTTGCCAAATATTGGCTATTTGGTCAAATTAAAAAAGGTGGCTAAAAAGTGAAATGTTAGTTAAACGTGACTAATTTGGTCACTTTCCCAAATAAAAGATAATATTTTTCTTCGACCTAAACTGATTACTTGTGGTTCATTTGTATCGGTGCAGTATGAGCATGCAATGCTGCTGGACTTGCTAAAGAAGGGTCACCTGGAAGCAGAGAAGAAAATTGGTGCAGGCATCCATGCTTTTCAAGTGCGGTACCATCCACAATGGAAAAGCCGATGCTTCTTCCTTGTGAGAGAGGACGAGTCTGCTGATGATTTCAGTTTCCGTAAGTGTGTGGATCACATTCTTCCTTTGCCTGAAAACATGACAGTAAAATCCGATGTCAATAAGGTACTGGGTGGTGGCAGTGGCGGCAGGGGCGGAAGGGGTGGTGGTTGTGGAAATTGGCGTGGACGCGGTAGAGGGGGTAAGCCAAGGAATTGATCGTCTTCCATTTGAGTCACTTGTGGTGAAGTGTGACATAATATATAAAAGAGATGCAGTAGTAATAGTAGTATGTACTCTTTTGTATGGATTTTGAATATTAAATTATGATTGCATTTGAAAGTTGCACAAGAATGCCCAAATTCTCTTGAACCTGGCTTTCTTTTCGTTGTTTGCCGAACGTTTATTTGCTATCACTCTCACTTACTTTATTGGGTACCATTTTCTGCCTTCAAAATGAATTATTGATAAGTATATTTTACCTTGTATGTACTTACCGGTAAAAGTCTTCTCCGTCTCTTATCCATTAAGATTCTGGTTCTTTGCTATGTCTCTTATCAGACAAAATTATGGGTCTTTGCAATGCTCATCTAGTAAGGTAAGAGTCTTTTTGTTGGCAGTTTAACGGAACTCACAACTTATTTGGTCAGCTATATATGATTGTTTGATAGTGGTTTAATGGTATAGAATGTGACTTGCTTGGTAAGCTTTTAGGAGGAAGTTTTATACAAGGTCTGTCACTTCCAAATCCAATTAAAACACTTTTTCCATCTATGAAAAACCTCAACCAAAAACCTTCTCAATTTGTTTAAATAGATTAATTTACACATATAACTTTATTTATATAGGGTTTAAGTGACATATGTTAAAGAGATTGGTAAACGGACTCTTAATTCCAACAAATTCTTATTTTAGAGATTACAACATTAATTATATTATAGAAAATTCAAATTCTCAATCCTGCTTCTTTTGTTCAGATCTATTTTCCATTTCTTTTGATTTTATTTTTTATGGTTTTAAACTATAATTTGATTGTAAGTGGCGATGAAAGCATATCACATACGATTTTAAGTTAGAAGTCATCATGTATTAATGGTGCCGTATGTGATTTTAATTTAAAATACATGTAATTTGATCGTTTTCGTATGATATTATTTGGAAGGTGGTGTTATTATTATGATATTTTAGCAAGATTAGATAATAATTATTATATTGTTATAATATAACTCTTGAATCGACCTTATTTCTCACCTCACCACCTTCTCTATCCCAGTTTCACTTTCGATTTCCATTTGATTCACTTACAAAACGCCTAATTCCAAACTTTGGTTCATGCTTTTAACGATTCCTTTTGGGGGAATTTGTTGTTGTGATTGGAGAAAGGATGACATCCAGCCCCAGGCGTCCCATCATGAATGAGGGTTTGAATCATCATTCCAATGGCAACAACAGTAAGGAGCAGATCGAGGTTGGTCATCGATTCACAGATGAACCTCGGAAGGGAAACGTCGATCGAGGACGACTTCTAAATGGAAGTCGTCAAACAACTGTTGTTCAGTATGCGGTTCGCCCATGCACTCCATCTCATAACACAATCAAAGAGTCTCCTCTCAGCTCTGACGCCATTTTCAGACAGGTTTTGCTTTCCCTCTATCTGTTTACATGTTCTATCTACTCCTGGTAATGCTTTTTATTTGCTGTGATATAACCCAAGCCTATTCATTCGTGTTAAATTCGTTAACTATGGCTACATCAGTATCTTACTTCTGATGAATGGACTACTGTATTGATATAGCTTGAGATTAAATCAGTTGGTTTGCCAATATAATTCACTTGTTATGGTAGAGAGAACCACCTTTTGATATGACCAGAATTGGAAGAGATGAACAATTGGAGTCTAAGGTTATGTTTGGCATACTAGCTGATAAGCTAACTGATGACTATGTTTTTTCTTTCATGATTAACTTGGATATGCAACCCGTTATGCAAGGACTAATCCCATGGTGACCACCCGCGAGTCACCGCATTTGAACCTCCATGGCCACATGAGATTTTTATTCCTCCTTGGATTCGAACCTGAGACTATTCTAACCGATGGCTATTAAACTAGGTATTGGCTGAAAAGCTTGCATATAAACTATTCATGTTTGGTAAAACCTAGTTGATAAGTCAAATGATAATGTAAAATGATCTAAAAGAACATATTGAAAAATTAATTGGAAAAACATTAGGGGCATGATTGGAAAGACCCCGGGAGGTTATTGAAATGCTATTTGAATGTTTTTGAATAAGCTAATTTATGGCTGACCAAACAGGTTTTTTCCCGGTAAGTAGCAACAAAGAATAATTCCGACAACTTCAGGAGAAAAAGAGGCATTTACCTATTACAGGGATGGTGTGATTTGATTTTTTTATTACTCTCAGTCTTAAAGAGCAGAACGAGCGGGAAATGTTCAACTTCTTTTTCTGTTGATGGCGTGCAGTGTCCTATCTGCTCAAGAAAAGCTGCCAAACTCGACGATTTGGTTTAGTGTGCCTCTTTAAACAATTGTAAATACTTTAATTACTAACTGTTCGGGGTTTATGGGGAACCTTCTTTTAAGAAATCATGAAATTGTGATAACCTTGAGAACTAGACAACTACTGCATCGTGTGCTGTTTCATATGATTTTTTTTTTCATCCAAGACTAGGATTTAGAATATCGATTAACATATGTTTGTTTCACAATGTAAACGTTTTTAGCCTGTTTGTGAAACAAAAGTTTCACATTGTAAACCGCATATATATGAAGCAAACACATTGTAAAACAAATATATGTTCATCAATGCATTAAATGCTAGCCTTAGATGAGAAAAATCATGTGAAACAATACCTTAAAATAAAGGTTCTCACAGTTATCACAATATATGGAAATATCAAATGATTAAGCCCCTGGGGTCGATTAGATGTTTTAAATTACCAAGGATCCAAACGGAACAGAGTAGATTAGGTATTTAAAATTACCTATGGATGATAAAGATCGAATCATTATGATGAAGTTAAAGCTGAAAGCCGGAAACCTCAATTTCCATCCTCCAACGCTATCCGCATGAGAGAAGTAACCAAAAAGAAACCAAACAAACTTGATGCTTGACAGTCTTATTGGTTAAAATAGTCACATGACATCAGATTAATGATCCATACTCCCAAAGTAGTCTTTTCATCAAGTTTATCTGTTCCATCACATTATTCCAAGAGAAGATTTATGGATTGTCCCTTGTAGCAACTTTTTTCTTTGTTTCCTTCCTGTTTTTCGTTTATTATTGTTGTTATTATAAAGAATACGTATAAGTTATAACTGCATTGGCTGATTATAACGTTGTTCCAGAGTCATGCTGGCCTTTTTAACCTCTGCATAGTGGTCCTTGTTGCTGTTAACAGCAGGCTCATCATTGAGAATCTTATGAAGGTGAGCATATGCTGATCTAAGTTGATTTTTGGCATTTGTGTCAAGTCTTCGACTGCTGTCAATGACCCATATTACTTTTACAGTATGGCTTATTGATCAATACCAATTTTTGGTTTAGTTCAAGATCATTGAGAGATTGGCCACTTCTTATGTGCTGGTAATGTTGTTACTTCCTGGGACTTTCTTTTCTGGTCTTTCTTATAAGTTTAGCACTATAAAAAATAGCTATTCCGGTTCCTTATGTGGGATTGCGAGTGCGATCACTGATTGACATGGGTATTATTGCTTCTGGTTTTTCTTGCAGCCTGTCACTTCCGATCTTCTCACTTGCAGCGTTCATTGTTGAGAAATTTGCATGGAGAAAACGTATATCCGAATCTGTAAGTAAATCATTCCAATTGCTAAGCTAAAAACATTGTTCATTTATAGATGATATTTCAATTCAGGAGATTTTGAATTTGGCGTACTCTTGTAGGCTGTTCTTACTCTTCATCTTATAATAACTACAAGTACCATTCTGTATCCAGTTTTCATGATTCTAAGGTTAGTTTACTGTATGCTTATAATTGCATATATACACAGGGGCGGATGTATGTTTATTGCCCCCCGCCCGCCCGCCGGGGTGGGGGTGGGGGGGTTCAAACGACCCCCATAAACTATTAAAAATTATTATCTGGGCTGTCCATTCATCTTTGTTAAAGATATTTGAGTAAATGTTACCTGTCGTTATTTTTTGACACAAAGTATCAACTAACCCACTCTTTGAAGACCCTATCGGGACTTCCAGAAAGTGAGGTCTGCCCATTATAGATGGTTCATTAGAAGTCTTATTTGGTTTAATCTATATATGTTGTTAGATCTTATAATGGCATTAATTGACCATATATTATTATAGATAGCAGAGGAGTCCATTAAAGGAAAAGCTATTTGCTAGATAGGATGCAAAACTTGATATGCAAACCCACAAGGGAAAAGTTACTAGTTATTATGAAAGGCATAAACCATTCTTATGTATTTTTTTGTAAGTTTTGCAGGTTTGATTCGGCTGTTTTATCAGGTGTTACATTGATGTTGTTTGCTTGCGTGAATTGGTTAAAATTGGTATCTTTTGTTCATACAAATTACGACATGCGCTTGATTGTGAACTCAATTGGTAAGGTAAATCATACAATGTGTATATCTTAGCAGGGTAAATATGTAGTTTTTTAGAACTGTATGAACTGTATCATTTCCCCAATATACCCAATTCCTTGAAAAAGAAGAGAATAAATTCTAAATGTTTATATGACATGATCACCTTTGTATTGTATTATTTCGGAACATTTCTCATGTAGTTCTATAAAATATTATGTTAGGAGGAAAAGAAGTCTTGTTTTTCGAGTACGGAGTATTTTTATGATGTCAACTTCAATAGCTTGGCTTACTTCATGGTTGCTCCCACATTATGTTACCAGGTACAGAATAGTCTTCATTTCTCACAATGTGGTTGTTTCATGCTCTCTATTCAGATAAATTAGTCATATTTGGTAAAAACTAGCTGATAAGCTAGATGACGATGTAAAATGACCTAAAAGGACATATTGAAATTAGAAAAATATGAGGGGTATAATTGAAAAGGTAGCGTTTTTCAATAAGCTCAAAACATAAGCTAGCTTATGGCTAACCAAACAGGGCTTTTCAATGAGCTAGCTTATGGCTAACCAAAGAGGGCTTTTTTAATAAGCTCAAAGGGACATTGAAATTAGAAAAATATGAAGGGTATAATTGAAAAAGTAGCGTTTTTCGATAAACTCAATAAGCTAAACAAAAATAAGCTAGCTTATGGCTAACCAAATAGGGCTTTTTCAATAAGCTCAAAAAATAAGCTAGCTTATGATTGCCAAACATGGCCTTAGAAAGGTAATCACTTCTTTTTGTGCTTAGCTACCACATAAATCTTTTGTTTTCTTCATATGGAGGCATTTTTTTTACTTGTAGATAAGCTATCCACGCACCACATGTATTAGGAAGGGGTGGGTATTACGGCAGACGATCAAGTTCTCAATATATACAGGGGTGATGGGATTTATCATTGAACAAGTAAATCTTATCTAAAATGCTAATTTTTTTTAATCTTATCCTTTTTGCTTCTGTTCTTGTGCATTTCTCTTATTCTGAAATGGTCTAGATTGTATGCAGTATATCAACCCCATCGTTAGAAACTCTCAGCATCCACTGAAAGGAGACTTTTTATATGCAATAGAACGCGTTTTGAAGCTTTCAGTTCCAAATTTATACGTTTGGCTCTGTATGTTTTACTGCTTTTTTCACCTCTGGTAACTCCTCTCTTCCTCTGCTTCCCACAATCAAAATCTCCAGTTCCTCATGCATTTTTTGGTATTTTCTTTTTCATACAATCATACAGAACTGGCCAACACGCACTCTATTTTCGATCTTTATTTTTTTTATCATTCTACTTATGGTTCTTGTTTCTAGTTATATTACAAAAACTGCTGCTAATATAGGTTAAACATACTTGCTGAGGTTCTTCGTTTTGGTGATCGTGAGTTTTACAAAGATTGGTGGAATGCCAAAACCGTTGACGAGGTAGACTTGATGTATTTTTTTTCTGGTTATCTTTTGAACTTGTTTGCCTTCATCATTTTTTTAAAACTAGTTGTTGACCTTCTTTTTTGGTTATCTTTTGAACTTGGTGCATTGGTGCTGCTATTAGTACTGGAGATTGTGGAATATGGTAAGCTTGATCTCAAACTTTATCGACTTGCAAGGATTATTGTTTTCTTGTGTCATTTGCCACTCAATACACGGAGTTGGGATCATGTGAAACAATTTTTTTTGGTGAAAATGGTGAGAACACTTTTAAGTCTTTGGAGACGATACTTTTTTGATCTGTCACAAAATAAAAAAACCTTCATCTACCTTCTTATGATGGCTCACAAAAACACGGATCTTCGGTCATATTCACGAAATGTCCAAATGTATTGCGGATGAATTCTAATAAATAATTCTTTCTTGGCAGCCGGTTCATAGATGGGTCGTGCGGCATATCTATTTTCCGTGCATACGTAGTGGAATACCTAAGGTTTTGTATGCTATTTTTCTTCCCTATGCTTGATGTTGATGTTTACCGTTACGTTTCAACATATAGCATCCATGAACTTGATATATATATATATATTGGGTTAAGTAATTTGTCCGGTATGCACATGTGCATAGAAACTAAGAAATATCTTCAGTTACTTGTATTCACATGTGCATACTGTACAAAGTAATGATTATTAAGGTGTTCCTCAGTTTTTTATTTTTTGGATGGTTTTCCCCTGAACCTCACTCTTTCTCTTTCTGTCTCTCTCTCTCTCTGTATATATATATATAGTCTTGTGGTTGCATTCTTGTACTGTAAAGTTTTAACTTTGACTCCTTTTGAATTCAGGGAGGTGCCCATTTTATTTCGTTCTTTATGTCTGCAGTGTTCCATGAGGTACGTTGCCTTCTTCAAGTTTTATATATATATATATATATATATATATATATATATATTAATTATTAGCTCAAATGGGTTCATTTGATTATGTTTTTTTTATTGCTTGCAGCTTTGTATTGCTGTTCCATGCCACATTTTTAAGTTTTGGGCCTTCCTTGGGATCATGCTTCAGGTCACAATCTTTTCTCTTCTTTTTCATTATTTGCTGCCAAATCCAATCATGATCGGGCTACCCATGCACCCCATTATACCCTGTTTGGTGTCTGTTGGGCACACTATAACAAAATCGGTTTTATAGGACACCAAAAATGTTTAAAGTGTTTTATAGACTACTTTATAAGACTTAAGTTCATGGGACGTAACACCTATGTCCTATCTAAGAGTGTTGTAATAAGCTTTAATGATGCTTATGGGCGTCTTACCAAGCTTTTTAGAACACGTTTGAAACAAGGTTTTCCTAATAGCCCTTTTATAGGACACTTCTAAGAATGTATTATAGACACATTTTTTTATAGGACAATTGTTTTATAATACACTTTTACAAATAGTGTCATGTAAAATGAGTAATAGGACCATTTGTTTCAAAGATGTCCTAAAAAGCTTGTTTAAGACATCCAAAAGTATAAAGCAATTGGTCCTAAAAAGCTTGTTTAAGATGTCCAAAAGTGTCATATCAGTTTATTACAACAATTTTAGATATGACACAAAAGTATTGGGTCCTAAATATTAAGGCATTCAGACATTTTTTGTGTCCTATAAATGCGAATATGTTGTAGTGATAGGTCGTCAAATATATGTAAATGTTGTAATAGATTGCTTTGTATCAGGTCCCATTGGTGATGGTGACAGATTTCCTTCATCACAAGTTTCAAAATTCAATGGTATGCATTATATGATGAATCTTAAAATCCCCCATTGTTGATGATGATGATGAATCATAATAAAGAAAATTCGAGGTTTATTTGCAGGTGGGAAACATGATGTTTTGGTGCTTTTTTAGCATTCTTGGTCAACCCATGTCTGTGTTACTCTACTACCATGACTTGATGAATAGAAAAGTGAATACCACCAACCAAGACCCTCACCAATAACAAACATTCATCTGATATCAAATACCTAATTCACCATATTTCATAGATTCCCTTTTGGGCATCTCATACTTTCCTTTCCTATATAAATGTTGGAAGAGGATTTTGTCATTAGGTAAATAAATGTATGTATGCATGCATGCTTTTAGCTAGATACAATAAGGTTTGCTTACATCTTATTATACCAAGGTAAGAGTCTCTTTGTTAGCGGTTTAATGAGATTCACAATTTATTCAGTATTGCTATAAAATGACTATTTGGTAGTGGTTTAATGATATCAAAATGTGGCTTATTCAGTAAACTTTTAGTAGGGAGCTTTATGCAGAAAATAAAGTTTTTCTTTTTTTCTTTTACATTTGTCCCTCTGAATTAAAAAAACACGCTTCTTTCATCCACGAAAAAACCCTTCCAAAAAAGCATATTTCCAATTAATACAAATAGATTAACGGAACCTACATAGATGACTTTATTCCTATATGACTTGATGAAAAATCAATCAAAAATCCAAAATGAGTTGTTTTAGTTTATTTATATAGGTGTAGAATGATTTGAGAATTTTAAAATTTTCAAGACGACTTATTTTATATAATTATAATGAATAAAGTAATGATGAAGAGATATTCATCACAAATATTATATAAAAAAGACAAAATATTAAAATGAAGTAATCTTTTAAGGTAAAAGAGCAAATGTGAAATGGGGGTAGATTAGATTCCTTTTGTTTTGGTTGGTTAGTTTTTTGTTGACTTTCTAATGGCAAATAATAATTCAGCTGGTGGTCCATTCTTGCATCGGATCCCACAAATCTCCTCCTTTAACCTCTACCTTTTTTATATTAAAAATTATGTATATATATATATAACGATATTTTAATACTCACATGTATTAAAATAATACAAAGTTTGTTTTAATTTCTATTTTGTATAATTATACTGTTTTTTTTCAAGATTTATAAACTAAATTTAACCATTTTGGTAACTATTTTTTTACTGTAAACTTTGTGGGCCTTGAATCCATATATTGATTTTTCAAAGTGTTTAGTTTTTCAAGATCGGTAAAAAGAAACTTATCATTATAAATGGTTTGGTTTGTAAATGAAAATGAAAATGAAAATGAAAATGAGAAAGAAAGATTTTTAGTACAATAAGACCACATTTTAAAGAGAAAATAAAGAAGTAAATGATAAACTTGAAAGAAAATGAAATTCAAAGACAATTGTTTTGTAAGCTCATTTAGACACTCACAGAAACCTAAAAACAATAAAGAAAAATGTCACAACTGAGACTTATTCTTGTTTCTTTTGCTACTACAAGAAGCATAAAAAACGATATTTTTGGCATCTAAGTTATGTTTTTGTTTGTCTTAAAACAAGTGTCTACATTTAATCATAAGATGTAGGCATGGCAACGGGGCGGGTTTTGTAATCCCCGGCCCCGGTTCCCGGCAGGTACGGGGATTATCATCCCGTTCCCGGTCAAATTCTAACAAAACCCGGTAAACCCCGGTAAAAAGTATGTTTTAGTTTGATTCTACCGGGGATCCCCGACCCCGACTCGGCCCCGGTTTGAGTAACATCCCCCGTCCCTGGTTTGAGTCTACCAGGGATCCCCAGCCCCGGGACCCGTTTTAGCGGGGAATCCCCGTCCCCATTTGGGTCAGATGAACTGGGTTCCCCAACGGGTCGGGTCAAATCACTATTCCTAATAAGATGATCATTATTAAAACTATACTTTTCATTTAATTAATTACAGTATTTTTAACAGATTCTTTAAAATGGAGAATCAAAAATCAAAATCTCCAAAATGTTTGCATATATATATATATAACATTTTCTTCATTTTATAGATTACATTATAGGAAGAATAAAAAATAAAAAAAATATTATGTTTTTCTCTTATACATTTAATTTTATAGGAAGAATAAAAAATAATTTCTATTTCATATGTAGGAGTAAAACCAAAATTCAAAATCTCCAAAATGAATTACGTTCATCTACAACATATTCGATATTTTAAAGAATCTAACATTGATTATTATAATATTAAAATATATCATTCATCTATTAAAACATTATTTCTCTTTCTAAATATTTATTTTCAAAATTTTCTACTATGAAAATATTTAAAAAAAATATTTATCTCATATGGTAATCACTTTTTTGGATGTTCTTTAAATTTGGAGAGAAAAACTTTCTCTTTCTTATTTTTTCCATTTTGGAGATAGTTCTAAGGAATTTGGTGGAGCATAAAATTAATTAATTCAAAATCTTCATTTTCTCTTATTTTCTTTATTTTAAAGAATTTGTTAAAGATTCTCTGATCATTTTTGTACAATTCTCCAAATATAAAGAATTTCACCTTGTCTCTTTCACTTTCTCTATTTTTAAAAATATTTTAGAGACATAACAAGTTCTTTTTAAACGGAGAAAATGAATATATTGAACCAATATTTTGTTTCAACAGCTTCTTCAAAACTCTTTATAAAACGAAGAAAGTAAGAGAGACACGGGTTTTTTCTTTAAATATAGAGAACATCTCAAAAATGATTATTAAATGAGACCATCGATAAATTTTTAAAAAAAATAATTACTTAAAGAGGTAAAATTTTAATAGATAAATAAAATATTATAATTAATAATGGCTTTTCAAAAATCAAGAATCTCTTAGAAATAAATGTAATTTTTTTTATAAGAAATATAAGTTTGAATTCGGGGAATCTGGTTTGAGAGACATTGAAGCATTTAGGAGGCTTTAAGAATATAAAATGGGGAACAAATTCCCCATCTCCACCGACGGAGCGCACACACACCGTGACTTTACATCTTTACTCCTTCTGCTTATATATTGTTTATAATTTTCAAAATCCATTGAATTGTGGTTGCATTTGGGTTCTTAACACAATCACAAGGACTCAAGTTGTTAACTTGTTTAGCCACCCAACTCATTAAAAAATGAAAATTTATATCTACTGTGTGCGTACAAAAAATGTGAGGACATTACCTAACCATAGGGACTAAACATGTAATTTACTTGGGACTTTAATTTCACACACACAGAATCTCATCAAATTGCTCACCACAGTTGGAGACAACTCACAAAACCCATTTCCTAGATACCATATTTATATATATATATGTATGTATGTATAGTTTTAGAGAGAGAGAGAGAGAGAGAGATCAAGAATGGACGATATGAGATCCAAGTCTTATAATGGAAATGGTATGCAAATAGAAGCTTATAATAACCCAAATCTTCAAGATTTGAGATGTTACAGCACCTCTCATGCATCATCGTCTTCTCAATCCCAGATGGAGAATCCAAGATTCAAGAAAGCCATCAGCAGAAATGGATCATCAAATTGGAGCTTTAATGATCCTGAATTGCAAAGAAAGAAAAGGGTTGCCACCTATAAAGCTTATACAGTCGAAGGAAAAGTCAAAGGCTCCATTAAGAAGAGCTTTAGATGGATTAAAGATAAGTATTCACAGATGGTTTATGGTTTGAGATCATGACCATGCATCTCAGCTTTTCTTTTCTTTTCTTTTTCTTTTTAAATGGTACGTGTACTGCTTGGATTTGAGGCCATCTAATTAACTTATCATCTTTCTTTGGTTCTTCTTTTCTTTAATTGGCTTGGAATTGCAAGTGAGGCCTTTGGTTTAACCAACAACCTCTATCTGTAATGGGGTTTTTAATTTAAGTCTTATGTTGAAATCTCTCTCTCTCTCTCTCTCTCTATGTATACCTAACATTTGCAAAAGCTGGTTGGTTTTTGAATAAGTCATGTATGGGTATGGATCAATCTGTTGTATAGATTGAAAATGTTTTTGTTTGAAAGATGAAATTTTTTTTACTGAATAAATCATTATTTATATTATTAAAATAGTGATATATAAGGGGTGGAACAATTGAGTGGATCTGATTAAGAAGGAACATATATAATAAAGAAATTAGTGGAAAGGGGTTGACTTTTGGTCTTCAAAAAACATGTCCAAGTGGTGGTTACGATGATCCCTAAATTACGGTAACCAGTGATCCATCAAATTTAGTTTTTGGTGAGATTTCTTAATCGAAAACTACAGATTAGATACACTAAAACATCAAATCAAATCAAATCCAATTAAATATGGAATTAATTGTAGTTGTAGTTGTACATTTAGTAATCAAGGTCAAGGGTTAAAGAAAACAGAACCACACTCGCATTTCCAACCTTCGGGCTCATAGTTGGCATATTGTGGGCCCAAGTGGGCTGTCGGCACTTCAATTGGGCTACATGGGCTGCACCCTTTGCACTTGTGTTCACATCTTGGTGGTCTTGACCCAACTCTACTACTTAATCCTATTCCTTCCTACATAGTACATAGTACATACATACATTTATGAAATTACAATACTGTAAGTGTAAATAATAGATTGAAACAGAAAGCTGCTTTTCAGGAGGACTATTTTTAGAATCATGAATTCGAGTTTGTCTTATATGCATTCCATCCTTTTTGCTAACTAAACTACAAGTACGTGTGGAAAACTATTTTTAGTTTTGTAAAAGTATACCATATAAAACACTAATTATAAATTATAGTAAATGTATACAAAATCTTATCATTTTGTTGTATTTCTAGCTAGTTACTGATAATGGGTTTTTGTAAACTAGAAATAAATGATGAAATTGGTTTACAATTGCCAAAAACCAAAAGACCAAACGGTAACATGTGGTTTGATACAGTTTTCGAGTTGTTTGTGTTAATATTTATTTCAGATTAATGACATGCATATATACCGAAAGATCATGTGAGAAGAAAGGTAAGAAAATATTTGAATTCTTGATCACTTTTAATCTACATATACACAGGGGGGAAGAATAAGACTACAGTCGAATTACATGTGATTTAAAACGTAATACAATGTACCGTTTTTCAATTTTTATATTTGGTTACATATATATATATAGCAAAGATACATGCAATTTCATTGAATGTAAGCATAAAATAAAATAAAATGAGAAGGGAAGGGAATGATATAGATATACCTGTGGTTGTGGCGTGAGGAAAGGAGATTGCATAAGCTGACCTGCCAGCCAGCAACGACCATTTTGGTTAAAAGAAATCAAATAAACGATTTCAGAGGAAACAAACCAATGAAGTAACATCGATCAACTTTTCATTTTTATAAATATATTTCTTAATTAAATACAGATTTTGAAGAACCACAATTACCTTGCTCAAGTAGACCCATATGTCTTGCTCTTGCACTTGCACTTGCACTTGCACAACTCATCATCATCATCATCATCATCAACCAAATTCTTTTATCCATTTCACACAGATCTACTTGCCCTTACTGCATGTACTGAGTTCAGTTGGGGTAGACTATACATACATATACATACATATATATATATATATTCACTTTGAAAAAGAAAGAAAAAAGGGAATCTCAAATCTAAATCTGGAACTTGACTTGATATTTGAAGGTCTATGAAACCATAGACGATGATGCTGCTACAGTAAGTATATCTATCTATCTATCTATATATTTCAAAATAAATACAACTTTTATAACTAACCTTGATTTGAATCATTCATTAATATTATATTATGAACCATTTATTAATTATAT